TGAAAGCTCATTATACGCTCATAGACATAACAATAACATGCTAACTTAGATGGCTCAGAGCCTCTGCGGCTCTGCCATCTGGTACTGTGGACTTGCCTTATGCCTATTGAAGTTGCCTATGGACTGTGGAGCTGAGTGGAGGAATAAATAAATAAGCATACTTTTGACTTTTTATCATGAATAGAAGAGTAGGTAAATTTAAAATGTGCATTATAAAAAACTTTTTAAAGACAAAACTTCCTTAAGAGGCTAATGTCTCCTCTGTTTCTGAGAGACTGAGACAGGCATGGAATATATCTACTTGGCGAGCCGCGACTGAATTTTTTGAGCCGTGGTTCTATGGATTTGCCAGCCGTGATTCCATTTCTATGAGCCGTGATTCCATTTCACCGAGCCGTGAGTTCCATATCTCGACCATGAAAAGCCATTTTCAAGCCCGATTGGAAATTTAAGGCAATGATCAGGAGTACTGCTTTTCAAAATTCTCACGGAATTACACCGAACCGCCATTGCACGGATTTTGTAAGAGATCTTGAACATTCTATTGAAAATTTTATGAAATGACATGTTTGCAAAGTGCAAACCGCGATTTTTTAATCAAACAAAAATTTATGACATTCGAGCCGCGAGATTTCATACCTACTGAAATTATATGATATTAGAACCGCGATATTTCAGACAAAAATAGGACTTTTCCAGACTAGGACTGAGACTCTGATTCTGCTGTTACACATCAACACATGTCTCATGTACAATGAAAAATTATTTGTAAACTTTTTCTCAATATAGTATGAAGAAAAAATATTGGTAATACTTTAGATTAGGCCTAGGTGTTTTTTTTTTTATATGTTTTTTGGGCTGTAGATAAATAATCTGAAATCCGTTTTTGGCGGTTGCCGGTTGGCATCGGAAAACCAATTTTTTTCCCCGAGGCTCTAATTTGTCAAAAAAAATTGGCAAAATTGGCGGAAAAACCTAACCTAACCTAACCGTGTTTGCAATTTGCAATTTTGTGGTTGCCTGCGCCCTGCAATGTTGTGGTTACTGGTTGCAAGAGTATATAAGTCACCGAGGTCCGAGTCCGAGGCTAAGTTAAAAGCGCTATACCTATAAATACATGGATATTTGGGCCAAGATTTAACTTGCATTTTATCTTAGAAAATATATAAAAATCGGTTTTCCGATGCCGACCGCCAAAAACGGATTTCAGATTCTTTATCTACACCCCAAAAAACATATAATTAAAAAAAACTTTTTTGGGATGCACTTAATCTAAAGTAATACCGAAATATTTTTATGTAAAAATTTTGTTTGAAATGGAATCTTGCAGCCCAATTGCGCACTTTTCTAGTTTTCTTGACAAATAGATTGGAATTTTTTCATCTGGCAGAAATCTCACACTCACGGTTCCAAAAATGATGGGAAAGCTCTAATTGCGGCCCTAAAAGTAAATGTTTTCCACGCTCCAGTCTGTGAAGTAGGGCCTTTCAGCTTGAGATATTGGCCTCTTTTCAAGCTCTCCATCAGCCACCTTGACCTTGAATCGGTGTCCATGGGACCATGGCCAATCATAAACTATGGCTCGGGCAGCCATGACCGATCATAAACTATAGATTGTTCAATCAGCTCCGCTGTCACCACGCGCATCTTCAGCTTCTTTGATTGCTTGTATCTGTCACCCGATCACAATGTGCATACGTTTGGTGCGCCCAATGCTTCTGCTGAAAAAACTTGTCTCCGTTTCCATAATGTATTGTAAGCAAATGATGCCTCAATACATTTAATGCATTCTAGTGTATTCTAATCATCTAATGCAATCTCATTAGTTCTAACACAATCTATTATGTTCTAATGCAATCTAATGTGTTCTAACGCAATCTAATGTGTTCTAACGCGATCTATTGTGTTCTAATGCAATCTAATTTAACCTAATAGGCTAATACCATCTAATGCATTCAAATTCAAACTGACACTTTCTACTGCAATCTAAAGCATTCTAATGCAATCTTATGTAACCTAATGCAATGTAATGTAACCTGATGAAATCTAATGTACCCTTATTCAATTTAATGTTTCTAGTGCATTCTAATGCATTGCAATGAAATCTAGTGCAATCAAATAAAATCTCAATGCATTCTAACACATTCTAATTCAGTCTATTTAATTTTACTGAATTAGGTTGGCCTGAATTGGGCTGGAATGATTTGATTAGGGTTGAAGTTGGTTAGGTTGAATTGAGTTGGGTGTGGTTGAATCAAGTTGGAACAAGTTAAATTAGTTTTGTTTGAATATGGTTTAATTGAGTCGAGTTTAATTGATTTTGGTTGAATTGAGTTAGGTGGGATGGAATTTGAATTGGGTTGGGTTGAATTGGTTTTGGTTGAATTGGATTGGGTTGAATTGGTTTTGGTAGAATTGGATTGGGTTTGGTTAGATTGATCTTTGGGTTGGGTTAAATTTGGTTAGGATGAGTTGGGTTGGGTTGCATTGGGAAGGATTGAGATGATTTGAATTGGGATCAATTGAAATGGGTTGAATTGGCTTGAGCTGTAATGGCTTGGGTTGAATTGGTTAGGTTTACATTGGGTTGGGTTTGGCTGAATTGGATTGGGTTTGGTTGCATTGGGTTGGGTTCAGTTAGATTGAGTTGGGTTCAGTTAGATTTTGGTTGGGTTCAGTTAGATTAGGTTGTTTGACTTTGGTTGGGATGAATTAGGTTAGGTTGAAGTGGGTTGGTTTGGTTCAGGCAACTAGACTAATGATGTACCGTAGTCTGTTTATTTGAAATGATTTATCACAAGCTGCTTTGTCATTGATTTGTCAGTACCGTGAGGCTCTCTCAACGCAAGCACTCAAATATATGCACTTAGAACCACTGGAACTGCGCACTACAGCGCGTAGGTAGTTCATGTGGCTGTTAAGGCGTGTGCTTGGGTGCTCAAATGTTACTCTCACAGGCATCGGAACTGCGCGCTACAGCTACAGTTCCGTAAAGCATATGGAACTGCGCGCTATAGCACAAATTTCAGGTGGCTGTGAGCGTTTATGCTTGGGTGCTCAAATGTAGCTCTCACAGCCATCAGAACTACACGCTACGACACGTAGTTACAATTGTAACATGAAGTAATGTAGATCAATATGGTGCATCGGCCATATCAATCGTAAATTGCGATTTATGGTGAAGCCTAATTGGCAACTGGTGTCCAGTGGCATCCACCTCGGCATCTTTGGTGCATGAAATCGGGGCCCTTGACTTATGTTGTGCCATACTTTACAGTCTGTTCCATGCTTGCTCAGCATACATGTATTGCAGTAATTGAACTTACTGTGCCCATGGCAAGTCTGGGCCACAGTGCCAGATATCTCTAGAAAGCATTACGCTATGTAATATGTATTACCGGTATACTTGATGTCTAAATATCAACAGGATAAAACTCCGATTTGAAATGGTGAGCAGAATTTTTCTAAAACTGCAGGTTAAAATGATTTTTTGCTGGTGATTTGTAAAAATTGCTGCTGAAAATAGGTCATTTTTTTTCACTGAAAAAAATCAGATAAAAGCCATAGGATCAAGCAAAATTGGCCAGATTTATAGGCATTTTTATCTGATTTACTGGTAGTTTTAGACTAAATTTCCAGTTGGGACAACAGTGATACCGGTATGAAGGGTTTGAATAGTAAGGAAAACCTCTACTTCTTGAATTTTAAGCAGCATCACAAGCTTTCTTACGGTATTATTTTAGGAAGCACAAGATTCCTGCTAAACAGGCATGGAATATATTTACTTTGGCTTATGAGGCTGGTGTGGATTGTATCCACCTTTTTGGTCACAACAAGGGCTTCCCTGCCATTTTTGAAGCTGCAAGATTCCCACTAGATGAATTTCTCCTTATCTATTTGTTAACTTGAGTGCATAATTGTGCCCCAAGATTTTAAATGTACAGAAAATAGGCCACTCATGAGCTGTAAGATTTCATTCGTAAGTAAGCAAATCCCAATCCCATTTTGTGCTATAACCAGAGCTTTCACTTTAATTTTTGAAGCTGCAATATTCCTGGTAGATAGATTACCTCTAACTCCTATCATATACTTAATCAAAGTGCAGGATGTGCTGCATGATTCTAACTGTATGAAAAATGTTTCATTTTGAAGCCACAAGATTTTAGTAAAATGTGGAAAATTCCAATTGGGGGATTCAATAACCACATGATGATGACTAGCAAGCTGTTTTGATTGCACTAACTAGAAAGATGTTGTTCAGTTTTCTTTATGAAATAGATCATTTTTGTTGAATGTTGATGACTTACATGATATGATGATAGTATTGGCAGAGAATCCAGATACCAACTTAAGTCACTTGATTCGATATGACATTTAAATTATTTTTTAGAGTAATTTTGGTTCTATGTTTTTAGCTGTATTCACAATACCTAATGTTTGTACTAGCAAATCATACAAAATGTTAATAAACAACTTTGAAATAACTATTAAAAATTGTTAATGATAATTACTCTTTTAAATCAAACCTACATTAAATACAAAATACTCAGAAAATTGTTCAAACAGTAAATTTTTTTCACAAATAAGTAATGAAGTCCAGAGTGCATTGCATCTCTATCTTCTACTATGCCCAACCCATTGTGCATGGCTACTTTTTTAGAAACTCATGAAATTAGATGATTCACAGTTAAAAATTGTTTATTATTTCATAATCAAATTGAGTAACATGGGCACGTCATTTTTAGAAATGAAACATAAATTACCAGAGAATTTCCCTCACTGATTTTTAGTGGATTTATTTAATGCCCAGAGAGTCATGGTAATAAATGTAGGAAATCTTGGTTTACATTTGCTAGCATTAAGTTAAACTAAGCATGAGTTGGTTGAATTCCATTTAAAACAAGCTTATGAAACTATTGATGTTACTAGAAAAAATTAAGTGCTTGATTCTTATATTTATTCAATTTGGAAGAAAAAGCTCAGGATTTTCATCATTGTCTCGTCTAAAACAAATATTATCTTCTAGACCTAAAATGGAGGTGGCTGATGAGCACCTCTCAAAGCCTGATGACAGTAATGTCAATAGTAAGAATTTAGACAACTCACAGAGTATATCATGTAATGAAAAATCTCTCATCACTGATGAAGATGAAAGTAAAAACACCAATGGAAGTGTGATTCTCAATTGCTCAAATGGCAACAAGCTGATTGAAGAACCCTCGGCAAGCAACTCTCTATACAGCGACGGAACTGTGGTGTGGGTGAGACTTGGCCAGTCTTGGTGGCCTGGTACTGTTGTGGCTCTCCATCTCTGTCCTCAAGACTTCCTTGGAGACCTCAAGAGAACTCCACTGGCTGTCGTCAAATTCTTTGATGAAAATGAATTGTGAGTGAGATTATGATCATTTTAACTTATTATGCAATGCTTTTTTGTTCATGAATGGCAAATTTATGCTATTTATTTGCTCTTTTGAACAGAAATTTATTTGACCAGACCTAATGTTTGTATAAATACATTTTTATTTCTCTTACTTAGATGTTAATGGAGTGACATGCAAATGATTAAATATCAAAACTTAATATTAGTTATTTCTAAGTCTTGATGCTTTGTTTTTCAAAAATGTTGGCCTGAACTGAATCAAAGTACATTCCATGAAAATTCTTTGTTACAAAATGAATATACATACATCCATCATTAAAAAGTTTAAGAATTAAAGTTCAACTGTAAAATGTCAACCATGTGCTTTGCTATTACTTTGATGTATATATAATTTATTTGTTTTTACATGTTTTTTATGATAGATTTATAATGTTCAAATTGCTTCTACCTAACATTGATTTGAGTTCAATTATATACTACTACATCAGGCAGAATAGTTTTTTTGGTCCCAATTTCTGAACAATGAATGGTAGGTGGTAGGGATGGTAGGTAGTGTCATAAGATAGCCATATAATTTTTTTAATTCAATTCCAAATTCACTTTCTTGTGATTATATATATATATATTTAGTCGTGTGTGTAAATGTATCAATTGAAGTTTATTGCCCTTCATTTTCCTTGAGACATTAGTTTCTTCTTGCAGTGTGGACATCCACAAGCCCGAGCATGTCTACCCATACAACTGTGACCGCAAGAATGAATTCATCAAAAAGGGCCTCAGTAAGTTGCAGAATTGTTTGTTGTATTTATCAAAATACAACCTGTACTTGATCAATTTCTATTTTAATGAGTCTTGGTGAGGGGTTTTTTCTACTTCCTTAATTATTATATTTATTCGTACTAACGGCAATGTTTTTTATTAAATTAAGTATTAAGTGGTTACCACTTGCAGTTCAAATTCAGAAAATTAATTATTTTTATTTTCAAATTACTCTGAGTAAGTTAACTTGCTGAAAAGCTGCTTGGATTTTACATCTCTCAACACAGAGGCTGTGCTCTACAGGCTGCATGTGTGCTCTCTTGGCTAACAATTAACACAAAAATACCAAGCTTCAATTGGAAAAGTATTTGGATGCAGTAAATATAACAAAAGCTAGCTTAGACTTGTTAAAACATTCTTTTATTTCTCCCATAACAATTTTCAAGTTTTCAAAAGCCTAAATTCTAAAAATTATTATGTTGTAATTGTAGCACTTTTAAAATCCTTCTTGCAGTTCTGACTTTCTATTTGTCAATCTCAAGACATAACTTGTTTGACAAATCATGGCAATTACAATTTAAACGGCAACTCCCATTGTATTGACATGTATTTTCTCCAAGTTAAAATCACTACATTTTCAATAATAAAATAAATAAATCATGAAAAATCTTCACTCACACGTTTTGTTAGGTCATTCATTTCTTGATAAAAGTAAACCTTATTTCAATACTAGAGAGGTGATGTATAATGTTGCATTTTGATGTATCCATGGAAGCCTTTGATGTTCATTTTTCTTGTCATTTGCTTAGACCTAGAGTTGTGTCTAATATTGATGCCTGCTTGCTTATTTATTGACTTTTTCTCCAACTTGTTTATTATGTCAGTTCCTAATGATAGTTGAATCAGCTTAAAGGCTGTTATTTCCTGCATGTTGTTGCCTGATATCTTAATTATGTTCCATGCAAGCTAGTTATTTGTTTGTGAATTACTGTAGACTAGTAAAGCTTCTAGTTTGATCCAGTCCAAGACCTAACAAATTATTCATGTATGTTGACGTCTATCTGGGTTCTAATTAAGCCCTTACTTTTTTTAACAAGGTTTAAATTTGGCATTGATTTTTTGATAAGTTATGTAATAATTGCTTTCCTAATGGTTTTTATTGGGTTTTCTGCCATCTTTGCTTTGAGTTTCTTTATATTGTTACAGGTTTCCATGCCAAGAGAATGTTGCACTCCGACTACGCTGCCAAAAACAGTAATGTTTTCGATTGTTTGTGTTGTCAATCTAGCCTGTTCAGCTATTTAGGTATTGATTTGTTATTTGATATGCCCCTTTGATGCATGATATGAAATTATTCCATAAATGCTTTTATATAGCTGGTTGAACATCCATCTGTTTATGACTTTTTCTGAGCTTATCACCAAACTTCAGCAAGTTTTCTTACTATTGTTTTCCTTATCTGGAAATTCTACTTCTGCCCTTTACCATGCTAGTCTTCTCTCTTTTTGCTGCTCAGCCTAAATGTAATTTGAGAAGCATTTTGAATATTGTGTTCATGCTATTCAATATTGTGTTCAGAAATTGTGTTCTTGCTATGATGCATTCCAGATAAGAAGATCCTAGGCTCCTAGGGGAGTATCCTATTCTATTTGAATTTTTGAGCTATGATGGAGCCTGTCAAGAGATGACTTGCAAAGATGACTTTAATTGGTGAGATGACAAGAGATGACTTTAATTGGTGCTTGATTCCGGAATATTTTCCTGCAGGACCCTCTGAAATGAGTGACCTAACATGAAATTTTTCAGTCATGTTTATATTACTAGAGATATAATTACTTGAATATGGCAGGTGTACTTCTAACTACCATCTCAGCTGCTCTAGTTTCTTTGCTTAGACAGGCTAGGATTCTTGCACTTCCGAGGCATGATTCATTTGATTGTTTTCCATCTCAGCAAGCCATCTTGCTGAAATATCTTGATTAACATTGCTTAGCCAACTCTCTTCTTCAGCAGCTGATGGCTGCCTGGCTGCCATACATAAACATTAGTTCTTTATTTGATTCTGTCTATAAAGCTACTACTAATCTTCCAACTTTCTTCACAGAGAGTTGATTCTCAAAAATATTTGCTACTTTTGTTGTATAATCCTTATACTACTCATATGGACAATGTCAGTACCTATGAGAAATGATGTCTTCTTTGGTCCTTGTGCCTAGCCATCTAGCTCTCTATCCTTCTTCTTGATTCTACTCTTTCCAGACACATTGATCTTAATTTCTTGCCTGCTCAAAACATGAGTGGAAAATTTTAATATATCTTTATAGAAGCTATGCTGGACCCACATGTTTTTTCTTATGTATAAAAATAACTTACTGTTGAATTTTAATATTTTATTTATTCACTATGAAATTGACGCACCCTGTAATTATCTGCTGTTGTTGATCACGTCACATGTTTCATTCTTTGGAAACGGATTCAAATTGTGAGCAAATGTTCAATCCGTGATTTGCTTAGTTTGTGTAATCATGTGCTTTGATTTGTGATTGCACAATTTATGATTAGCTTTTATTTTGCATCTAACAAAAACTTTGTCTAACATAAATGGGTCTAAGTGTAAGTGGTGCTTGTGTTGTGTTGCTCTTAAGCTGGTAGAGTGGCAGATTAAATGAAATTTTGTATAACTGGATAATTATATTAATGCAAAAGAAATTATTGACTGGTTTTACTTTCTCTTTGTTTGATAAAGTTCCTGCCCCTACACTGAGGTTTTTATTGCTGAATAAAAATCATGCTTATAACTAACTCAGCTTTAACTGTAACTCAGTAGTACTTAATTACTGTACTCAGTAACTTACTTACTTACTTAATGCTTTTGATTAACTTTTTCACTGAGTTGTTTTGTATATTGGGTCTTGTTTCTAGACTCACTTGTTCACATTTGGAGTGAATACATTTTTATGCCTTAATAAATAATATATGTTTATTTTAACATCTCTTTAAGAGGATCATTGTAATTTTGATGCATTCATGAACCTGGTTATGGATCTATGTATGTATGGCCGGCATGGATGTATATCGCAAATACAAGTATGCAGTGGCTGGTTGATAGTGTGAGTAGTCTTGCCTGAGCACATATCTACCCATGCATATGGGTATACTTCATATTTATTGAGGTATATAATTCAATAAATACTTCATATACAGTATACTCCATACTTCATATATTCTTCATATATATACTTCAAGGTATACTTCATATTTATTGAGAAATGTGAAATTTGGCTAATATTGCTTATATCCTACTGATTAAGTGTATTTGTGGCGTTGAATATGGAATTATAGTTAAGCATTGGCAATCTGTGGTAGACCAATTGAGTAGCTAAGTTAACTATTTTGCAGTCAAGTAAACCATCTATAGTGACTCAAAATGTCTGCCCAAAAGTCACACCACACCTCCTGATTTGTTATGAGGTCACTATCAATCACCAATCATCTGTTTTTTGTTTTTTTTTTCCAGTGACCAATACACTTTCTTTTGTAACTTTTTTTTCACTGTAAGCCTCTATAAATCTACAGCGAGTGTTCCTCACTGTAGGCTTTGTGTTCTGGAGTATCTCAGTTTATTCTAATATTCTGGTCGTTACGGCCTCACTGTTTCTAATGTACACTCAGTTGCCTATAAAAAGAAATCGGTAGATAGTAATCTAAATTAATTTTACAGAACATAATCTTATTTCCCCATATAACACAATTTACATAATTTTTACCAACCAACCGTGCCGAACTAGCACCTGAAAGGATTACAATCCCTTTGATGAATCTAGGTCTATAAGGAATAATTTTCATTATTAGATGCCTCTACCTCTAGGCGTTAGTGATACAAAAGGTAAGATTTATCGTGTATCCTAATTAATCACATTTACTTGAGTTTGATAACTGTAATTCAGGGTTTATTTTCTTGCAGATTTACGCAGTATGAAGAGCAAGGAGGAACTCTTCAAGAAGTTTGAGCAGGACGTGCTGAAGGCAGAACAGCTCACTGGCGGCGGGGCTGACGTCTTCACGCGCATAGAAGAAGACTCGAACAAACGCAGGATCGACTACAGTAACCTCGGATTTGGTCCTCCTAAACCCAAGAAAAAGAAGGAGGAACGCATAGGAGACTCGGACATAAGCGAGGCTGTGCATTACAAAAAGAACTCTACTGGCGCACTGAGTCAAAGAGTCATGAAACTCGAGCACAAAGTAGTCATAATGGAGCAACCTCATGTCAAAAATATGAAAGAAGATTTGCAGAAGTCTTGCAATCATTTCAAGTGTAACTTGTGTGACTTCACATGCAGCAGGCTCGGTGTTATTATTTGGCATAACAAAGGGCATCTAAAAACTGTCATAGACTATGACAGAGGAATACGGATGCCTGGAAGAAAGAGAAGAAAACCCAAGTCGAAATCTAAAAAGGTAGAAGGCAAAGCAATTGATGGCATTGCAGTAGACCATTCAAAGGTGAACGGCCATGCTGGTGCAGGCGCCGCTGCATCAGTTGATTCCAAGCAGCTGCTGCTTGACTGGGACGACGAGGATGAGGCAGCTGGAGAGTCTGGAGGTGCAGGTGAGGGCAACCACGAGGGTGAGTCAAGTGATGAGGTGTTGGAGAGCGAGGATGAAAGTGGTGCTATGTACCGTCGGCCTCCTGCAGACCTCGCGCAGCGCCGCCCCATGCGCGCAGCAGAAGAGCTCAACTCTGCTTTTGATGCACTTTTGGCTGATTCTCAGAGTTCTGGTTCCATCAGTACCTCTATGCACAATGAGCACAGTTTCGTCAATAACGACTCTGATAGTGACGCAAGTGACTGGGAAAAGTATTATGACAAAGATTCCGACGGCGAGGAGAATGATGAACCCAAGGAAAGTGACATCAAAAGCCTCTGTGAAGCCACTGATGATTCTAACGGAGTTGTTTCGTCGACCATCACCAACGGTAAGTTACCCGACGAAAAATCTGCTGCCAATGAACCTCATATTGCAATTGTTCGTCCAAATTCGCATGTGATTGACTCAGTGTCTTCACATTCGAATTCTGCAAGTCCTGAACAGAGCAATCAAGACGACACAATGGAGGCGGGTGATGAAGATGAAGATGGTGACACACAGGAGACTGGTCGTTCTTCATCTTTGTCATCTTCTCCATCAAACAGTGGCCCAGCGTTCATGTTAGTGGCGGTTGACGCTCAAGGTAACAATGTACCCATGCCGGCACTGACAGATCGCAATCACAGCAGTAACCTAGTGGCTGTTGAAGCCAGTATGGAGGACGGCACTTCCCGAACCTTGTACATTGACCCGGCCTACTTGGAACCTAACGTTGACCTGACCAACCTGATGCTCCACATTGACTACTCAGGTCAGGAGACCGTCATCATTCCCTCCACCTCAGCTGTGGATACAACTGCCAACGCCTCGTTGCCTCAAGACAGCCTCAGCTGCGCTGAGTCATCGGCTTGTGAAGTGTCGTCTGGCCAGCCTGCAGGCAGCATCAGCAGCGCCGAGTCGACGCGTCCCCTGCCCGCAGAACACAAAGAGGAAGTTTCAAGCAGCGGCAGCGCGGCGCACGAGACATCCGCTTACAATAAGCAGCCTTGAAGAAGCAGCAGCATCAGCTGCTCTGATCAGAGGCATACTCGAGCATCCTAGCCCAGCTTTAGACTGCACTCTTTGTGTGATGTTCGAAAAATTTCAAGCTCGGGTAGACATTTTCCATTGTTTTTTTTCTTGGTTTATAAGGGAGTACGTTGAATTCTTCTATTGCCGCAGCCTTACTAGTGCTCTGTCCTAGAACAATACATGGATGACATTTTCCTCCCATTTGTTTTTGAAGGAAGTTATTGGTGACTGCATCTGTTTACTTTTTTAAGAAACGTTACCTAGGCGCTCCTTGACTATCATGTTATGACAAACATCTGTCAATCATTTAGATGATGATCCAGTTTGGTTTGAATTAGAACGTCTTGTTATTTACAAATTTTTAATTTATTAACTTTTTGGTTTAACTCAGAATTTATCAAAACGTTGACTTTGTCATGAAATGACATATTAAAGTTTTAGTTGAAATTGCGTCAAATTTGCGCCATTTGGATGCATTTGGAGTGGATGTTCCCGTCTGGATTAGCAAAAGATAAACGATTCTTGCTGCTGGAATCTTGCTTTGTACTGCGTTCAATTGCTTCTCCATTGCCTCTCCTTCTCCGTGTCCATCACATATATTACTATCAGCTACATGCGAATGTATTCCGCATTTATCTTGCTGAATGCTTGTACATGCAATTTAGTATCTCTTGGCCTATAATCTAATGCTCTGCCATTTACAAAACTTAACTTGCACTTTAAAATGTTTCTCCTGGCTTTTTGAACACTTCACTATTGACCATGTGTGAATTTGTAATGAAAATTAATTTTACTGTTGTATGGAATTTATGAAGGCATGCTGCCGCGAAGTTTATTGGCAAGATTTGTGAGAGAACTTTCTCAAGGTCTAGCGTGGGTCCGTACAAGACTGATGTTGATATGATATACTTTTTTCATTGTGATCGGAGGCGTTGGACGAATTGTTGTTATTTTGCTCAACTTACCACGAGCCTTGCCGCACTAATATGTTGACGGCATTGATTGCATATTCTTTCTATTTTGTGAATTATTATTTCCATTCTATTGATATTTTTGTAGAAATGAGAATCAAGTCTCTGTGTTTCTTAGGTTCCTCCTTTAACGTTCTGTTTGTTGGTGAATTCCATCAGACATTAACATCTCACAAGCTCAGCAGTTTCATCTAGCAATTGAATCATTATTAATAAATCTATCGGTTCAATATATTCATGAAAAATATTATCCAGAACCCTAACAAGCTTATTTTCGCCACCTATATTGTATTTCTTTTTATGAAACAACTGTTTCGAATATAATGGCATAAAATGCGTTTTCTAAGTGACGTAGGAGCCGATCGTTGTATCCGCCGTTCTAATGCCGTATAGAATCTTTATTCTAGTGAAGTGCCTCTCAGTCAACACTCCAATCTTGATACAAACACCTTCTCTAATTTTTGTTCTATGCAGGATAATGTTTTCTGTTAATTTTTTTTGTGATTCGCACTTAAAGTTGGCTACTATGTGCAGGAGGTGTCGTCAAATAAGCGAGGACTTACTTTAAACTACTAGTTTCGTTATTCTATTATTTGACATTTTAACTCTGTAACTTGTGATTTAGCAAAAAACTGTCTTGCAGCCAACAACCTGGGCTAGGGTTTCTAGAGAATTCTTTTCAACTTTTATGGAAGTAACGGAATAGAGTGCATTTTATTTAATTTACGGACATAGAAGCACCGATGGCTCCAGTGTCCCGTGAGCAAAGCTTTTGTTTGCTTATGAATAACCTGAGCATTCCTTAACTTGTTGAGATGCACTCAATAGGTCTGAAGTTATAGAGACTCTCAACATGAATAGAGCTGATGCAACAATGTACTTTTTCCCTGAGAATTTGGTATAGTTTTTTTTAGATCTACATTAATGTAGTTTACGTTTCTAGTGAAAGAATCAATTGTTCACGGATATGCTGTTCTAATATTTGTAATTCTTGCAGTACTTTCATTATTATGTGTTTATTTGAGACATGTGCTGTCGTAATTGTCAGGTAAATATTATTTTACGTTGAAGTACTTGCATTGCCGTTCACTTGGTGACTTGGAATGGGAGATTGTTCGGGTTTTGCTTGTTTAAGTCTGTTTGTGCTCATGCCTGTATTGTGCTCATGCCTGTGTTGTGCTCATGCCTGTATTGTGCTCATGCCTGCATTGTGCTCATGCCTGTATTGTGCTCATGCCTGTATTGTGCTCATGCCTGTATTGTGCTGACGCGTTTGTTCTGGTGCTGCAGTAGAGGTCGGTGCAGAGGAGGCTGGTGCGGGCACTTCTGTAGGAGCTGCGTCTCAGAAATATGCGGCGACCACCTCGGTATTGCCAAGGTAATTCACGCTGAAGCGCAGCGTTACTGTCATTTGATGTCCTTTTCTTCATCTGAATGAAGGAAGATCTTAGCCTCTGTCATTTGAAGTTGGGATTTTTTGTTAGTGTTTACAGGAACATTAATATCACGTGTGTGTTTGTCTCCTAGGAACTTCTAACTTTTATGGATTTCATCTTGGGATGAGCTTTCTTATCGTCGCAATCATGGATAACGTAGTCATTTTTTTCAAAAAAGCAGGATTACTGTTTGTTTTCTTCTACTTTGCTATGTTGTTGGAGGTTATTTTAGTCTAAAGTAAGCATTCAGGTAATTTTAGTTTGAACTATTCATGTAAAAAGTTAAATTACCGAAATTACTTCTGGTTTGAGTTATTTCACTTACTTTAATATAATGCCAGGGACGTTTTAGTTTATTATATCGTTTGTAGAAAATTTGCAGTAAAGCACGTATTTTATGAAGTACTTTTTCATTACCCATACTGACATGGGAGCTGAGTCCTGACGACGGATTCTGACAGTGTTTTCTGCATTTCAGACGGTGTGACGTGGGCGCTGTTAGCGAGACTAGCGGCGTTACGACACAAGTCTGTGATGTTGTCAACACCAGTCGTCTGACTTCTGCTCCCGTCAGTGATTCTTGTTACGCCAGTCGTCTGCCTACCGCTCCTGTTAGTGACTCTTGTTACGCCAGTCGTCTGCCTACCGCTCCTGTTAGTGATACTTATGACACCAGTCATGTGACTTCTGCTCCCGTCAGTGATACTTATGACACCAGTCATGTGACTTCTGCTCCCGTCAGTGATACNCAGTGAGGCCCTCAATACCGCTCACCCGAACGCCTCTCCTAACAGTGAGGCCCTCAATACCGCTCACCCGAACGCCTCTCCTAACAGTGAGGCCCTCAATACCGCTCACCCGAACGCCTCTCCTAACAGTGAGGCCCTCAATACCGCTCACCCGAACGCCTCTCCTAACAGTGAGGCCCTCAATACCGCTCACCCGAACGCCTCTCCTAACAGTGAGGCCCTCAATACCACTCACCCGAACGCCTCTCCTAACAGTGAGGCTCTCAATACCACTCACCCGAACGCCTCTCCTAATACTGAGGCCCTCAATACCACTGCCTTGTATGCTTCACCTTCTCCTCCGGCACCTCTTCATTTTCCACTCCGGGCCGAAGCCGTGACGCTGTTGGACGGTTCGAGCACCGACGCCTTACCGACCTTCGCCCCGCTCGATGCAGCTGATCCTGTACCTCCGTCTTCAGCCCCTCCTCCATTGCTCGCGGGTCCACAACCAGCGAGTGCCCCCATGTCCATTGTCACATCCAGAAATAGCAATTCTTCCAGTGGAAAAATCATAACCGTAACTCGCAATAGTTTTCTTCAATTCGTCAAGGATCAGCCTTTACGCTCATCTGCAAATTCTGCTTCTTCAGCTTCTATCAAAAATCTACAACCGCTCGAGAGCGCTTCTAACGAAGGGCATTTCGCAGTTGAGCGGAACAGTATTAGTTACGATGGGGATCTTGCACAAACTGATATCTTGCCCACGTCCATGAATAACCGCGAGAAAAGTAAAGGAAAAGAGAGTCCCTGTCTGGGTGAGGATGCCAACAACTCTGTTCCAAACAGTGACTCGCCCGATAGTTTTCTCTTACAGTCCAATTTGGGAGCAACTACCAGCGATGCATTCTCTGGTTTAGAACATGAATTTTCTGCTGTAGATATCAATTCTGCCTCAAGTGAGATGCCTGCCTCTTCGTTGTCTAGGGAAAAAGCTGCTCCGATGTCCATACGACCTGCGGTGTCTATTAATTCTGACCGATGTTTGGAACTGCCGCACCCTATACCGGATTCAATTATTTCCGGTCAACTGGATTCTGATGCTCAATCTCATCATAATAGATTGTGCACTTCACCGGCAACACCTGGAATGACTTTACTCCAAGAGGAGTCAGCAAGTGGAGCCCCAGCTTCTATTCCACTTCTTGGGTGCGTTCTGCGTGATGATGTTCTGGGTTCATCTGAACCTCCTCAATACTTCGATGCCAGAAATGTACCTTCACTGGCAGTTTTATCTCAGGACTTATGTGCCAAGTACTCCAATTACCAGACATATTCTGATAGCAGCCAACTAACAGCAACGAGTTCAGAAGATATTTTGCACGGGCAGTGCAGTGACGGTGAAAATCCTTCCAATTGGCCACGTCCTTCACAACCAGAAACTGACTCTGCTTCTCTTGTCGAGTTTGCTACAGAATATCGTGCTGATAAAGACGATCTAGCAGCAAGAAATTCCTCGCTTGATAACAACAAATTATGTACTTTGAGAGAAGCTGATGAGCCTTCAGGTGGATCTTGCGTGTCTCCTATTCGCCTGCTCTCGAGTCCCCCAATGGGTTGTCCAGCTCCTGCGAAGGACGGGGACAAGCTTGGCAACCTCAACAACCTCGACTCCTCTGAAGACGAGACCGAGGACGAAGACCTGCCTGATCTTGAGGAGCTTGCGGCAGGTGAGTGTTTTTGCATACAAACTCGGCCAACCCCCGAGTCCCGTTTGTGAACAAACTGTTGAAAAACTTATTTCAGCGGTAATATGATGGCATTCTGGGTAAAGACATTACATTGAGATTTACTAATTCTACTCAAATCTTATATTTAGGTGCAAGTATTCTTTGTAAATATTACACAATGAAAAGATTACCGCTTTCTGCTTCTATTTTCATTTTGCGTTTCATCCGTAATCGGAGAAGTGACTTGATGCAAAATTGTGACCAGATGTGATTTTTTTCATTTATCGAGGCTCAATAGGGAATATCTAAATAAATAATAGATATTAATAGGGCATCTTTTGTTTGTTTCCACAGCAAACTTTCTGTCAATGCTGTAGTGTAATACACTATGTGTATGAAGATGCAGGCGCTTATTTTTTTGATAACTTTTTAAATCGTATAAAATGGTCAACTGGACTCCGCTTGATTTTTCTATCGGTATTATCTTACTGTTAACATATGTAGATAGCAGCGCCGAAATGATCTATTCTGCTAGTAGGTCTTAAAACTTCTCTGTCTTGTCATATGCAACGTAGGGACAATCCAAAGGCAAGAGAATAGGAAACTCAAACAATTTACAATTTTTCCTCGTACTGTAAGCACCTCGCTAACTTTTCCATTGAATGCAATGTCGCCTGGATACCGTGTAGATCTTTATATTTAATTCAACGTTGTCCTAACTTTCTCATCGTTTGCCCACAGCTTCGAGCACTTGTCGCTACCCAGTGCACCGCCTGGTGTGGGCGGGCTTGTCTCCTGACGCAGGCGACCGTCCTGCCGAGCAGCGGGTGTGGTGGCCCGCGTACGTGACCGCCTCGGACGCCTCCTCCGTCACCGTGCGCCTCGTCCAGCCGCCCCCGGGCCTGCAGCCTCAGGCAGTCCTGCCCCTAGACTGCCTCCAGGACTTCGCTTGTGACAGACTTGACGCCTTCCTCGTGAGCCTATTCTTGCATCGTGTTTCTGGGCCTTAGTGACAATGAGTTTATTGGTATGATAGATGATTCCTTTTTATTTCATCTATAGAATATAGAATTTGGTATTGCAGACAGTTTCCGCTGTTATTTCCAGCCGTGCTATGCTCAGGAATTCCTTTTAATGCTCTCTGAATATAATTTCATTTACTCGTCCACTTCAATACATGGGCCGCGTGTGTGTATTCAGCTTCTGTCAGGGAACTAATATCGCCATTAGATCGTGTCAAGTTATACTGATTGGCAAGCAGAATTTCACAGAAGCAACTCAGATTATCGGTTTCGGTAAATTGGGATTTTGGGAGTAGTACTCAATATTGCTTCCTTAATGAGAAACATTTGCATCCGTGGTGGGTTGATTGGCTAATGGCTGCCGAAAACTGACGCAGCTATTGACCTTAATTTGTAAAGAGTGAGCTGGCAATACTGGAATAAAGTTGACTGAAACTCATAGGCTAGGGAGAGGTTGGAGTACGGTGCGAGGCAAGTTTATTGTTTACAAGTACAGGGCTGGTGATGAACTGACAAGGAGCTAAACGGGTATGACAAGGTTAATACATGAATGAACTGTTTCTTAGGACTTTTTCTGGAAATTAACCTTTAACTCATAACCCACAACACAACAAAATAATAGGTTGTAATGTAAGTGCGCTTTTATAATTGTTGCAATGTAGGTGCGCCAATGTAGGTGCGCCAATGTAGGTGCGCCAATGTAGGTGCGCTTTGTTCGTTATACCCATACGTGGTTTTCGGGATTAATTTTAGAGCTGCGTCTCAATCGATTCTACTCTGGCCCACTGATATATCTAGCTGTTCCTGCATTGATTTTTACTGCGTTCGTACTATGACTGATCTCGTCGATACTCTAACATTATTGCTTTTACTCGTCGTTCTTATGTACCTGACGTGGCATGGCTTGTTGACGACAGGAACAAGAGACGCCTGGCTTGTTCGACGCCTACATCTGCACCAACAAATTCAAGGAACTGCGCACTGTGCTCCACTCCTGCTCCCCTCAGGAGTTTTTTGAGCTCAATAATGCTGGTGAGTGCTAACTGCAATTTCAAGAGTTGTTTAAAATATTGATTCCCATAAGCTTCTTATTTGAGGCAGGTTCATTTTTAAGGAATAGAATTTCATTTCTAGGTCATTCAGTACTCATGGAGTATACTAACAAATGTTTCTCTGTTTTAGCATACTTTTCTCTTGCGTGATTCCTTGACATTAGTCCTGTAAGGTCTCACATTTCCCAAAGCATTATTCCTAAGAGCACCAAAAAGGAATCCTAGCATGTGACTACGGGTCTCACTTTTGGGAAGTTATTCCAAACAAACATATTTTGTCGTTTTATTAGTTGACCGACGCACTCTGTAAGAAACGTTTCATCTGAGTGGTTCTCTGATGACTGCTACAATGCTCTCCTCCCACTTGTAGGTGCTAAAAATATTCGATGTCACAATATTGGGCCATCGAGATCTTTTAAGTTGGTGATAAACTATTCCAGACATATATACAGTACATGCATGTGTACATGATGGACTAAGAGCAAAGCGCTTGCAAAGTTTTGAGCTCGTTTTGCAGTACGTAGTTCTGAAACTACCTAAGCATTAGCACTTGTTCATACCGGCAATTACGGAAAAATTTTGTTCATAAAAAAAATCTCATTGCCTTGTGCCTCACGCTACTGCTACCTGCAACAAATATACTAGTTTCTCTGTATCTACGTACCCGTTATTATCTCACAACTGTTTCTAGTAACATCTATAGGTGCTATTGAAGAGCTTGATACAAGAGTTAATCTACTTGTTCATTTATCTTACTTAATAAGGTCAAATTGCAACGAACGTTGTTTTTTTTTTTGGGGGGGGGGGAGGAATTTGCACGCCGTGCACCAGGGCAGACATAAACATTGGTGCACAGCGCTATGCTATTTGAGGCTGGTGAAGCTGTAACGCGTGCAGAGACCGAGTCGAGTAGTAAAGACGCTCTAACTAAGTCTGAGCCATACTTGGCCACGTCTCATCTACTCGGGGCTCAACCGCCTCTTTATGCATGGACGTGTCCAAGAAATCTCATGCCGCGGTCCGCTTAAAGATGACGAATGCCTACCTCGGACTGTAAAGGACCGCGCAAGATAGCTTAATATTGCTTACGACGCTTAGTATCCAGAACACTAAGGAAAGGCCTTATTTAAAACTAAGAAATTATTATTTACTAATTTTTATGAAACGCAAACTTCGTTCGTGCAGGTTTCTATATGGTGATAGAATAAAGTTTAAGTTTAATAAGCGTACACTCTTTGGTTACAGGTTCTTCTCATTTTCCATTATAATAATTATGATAGGCCTAATGTGAGCATTTGGTTACTGTGTGCAGAACAAGAGCGCTTGTATGCCTTCCACCTAAAGAAGACATCCACCACACACCAGTGTTCTCGCGGTCGTAAGCGCCGTAAAGTGGAGCCAGAGAGCGAGTACAGAGACCCTTTGTTAGACGAAGAGCTGAGGGCGGAGTACCCGGACTTCGAACGCTGGGACACTCCTGAACCCGTCGAGCCATCGTCCCCGCCTCTGCAGGTCAGCCGTTACATTCCCAGTGAAAGTTTACAGACGCGTCTGCTTCTGATTTGGATTACCAGAAGCTGAGGCGACTCTAAATTTTGTTAGGGTTAGCCCCCGCTCGCTCCTGCAGGCTCTGCAGGGCATGATGACTTCACGAAAATAGCAGAGACATGGATGCCTAACGAAAGGTCTTTGCCTGTGCATTGTTATTGATGACAAGCGGGGAAGGTAATAGGCTAGTTTAAACTGTACTAATTTATTCGAATAAACCTAATGTATCCACAAATAAACCATGTTATTTATGACGGTCAGTCGTACCTGAGCTAGTACTATTATATTCTCACACAGTGCAGACTTCTAGAGGGATATTAAATTAACCTTAACACGTAGCATATTGGAAAGACCATCACTCAACCAATCACAGTCTGGAGTGGATGACATCACAATCCTACCAACCAATCACAGTCTGCAGTGGATGACATCACAATCCTACCAACCAATCACAGTCTGTCTCTTATACACATCTAGATGTGTATAAGAGACAGTATAGGACAACTCAGTTGAATGAGTGTGTAGTAAACTAACTCATTTCCATTGGCTTGGCTTTTTATGAGGAGGAAGATTGGTCAGCGAAGGAAGTGCCACGAATTAATCGCTCCCATGAACTATGTTGCATGTTACATGCAGAACGCTTTGTATTCATAGCTGACGCACCCGAGTTTCCTTGTACGCTTTCTTCGACAAAATACGTCGGAAATCCGGGATACGACAGAAATAATTGAACGCAAACAGTAGACTTTTTAACATCAACTGCCGGATCATCGCACCTCAGGTTTCTTTCAATGGAGTTATTCAATTGAAAATTTGCTCACTTTCCAACCGAAATTCAACGTCTTTAAATAAGTCCCGTATAAAAATGGTTGGTGAAGAAACTATCTCGCACAATTTATTCTGAAACTGGAGACTGAGTTTAACTCAAAATTTTTGGATTACCAGGTTGATTTAAAACCACGACTTTAAAATAACGTTTTCATCGGGCTAAGCTAATTGCCCAAGTCGGAACACCACACTTCGATTCTTACAAAATCCATCACAAAATCGATTGAGGTACTGTGTTAAAAATGAATATTTTGTTCGGCATATCATTGATTAGGTTTACAAATAATCATAAACTACAATTGGTAACAAGAGAATCTGTGAACCTAGCAGACGACGCACCAGACGCGAGAGGCAGCGTCTAAATTGCCTCCCCTTCCTAGCGAGCGCCGACGCGGAGGCAGTCGCCTATCGACCGCTTGGGGTGCCGGAGGGCGGGAGCCAGGAACGTTTGACCAGAGCATCCATTCTGCTCCAGTGTTTAGCTGACTCGCGTATGGGAAATGAGTCGTTTGAGCTGTGTATTCCGGCACTCATTAAATGACTCGAGTACATTGAATGAGTCTGTAGTCATTCAATGACTCTTGCATGTGGTGTGAATCTGTCCTAATTCTGTATCGTGTGAGCTGAATGAGTCTCCGCTCATTCGCACCACGATTTGCAAGTAATTTTTGACTCTGGAACAACAAATTCCCTTAGCAGGATTCATCTCGCGCTCATGCTAGGTTCATCACCAAAGTGTCGTAGTGACGCATTGATTTGTATTCGTGATACATCCTTTGTGGTCGGTTGCTTCCTGCAAATGTTGGAAACTTGAAGTGCTCATCAATTTCCTACGAGAAAGCGACAATGACAAGATCATTGTCGTATTCACCTTTTTGTTTCTGTCTGTATAACACGAGCAAGAATTGTACGTACAGGCCGTATTTCGCTCTATCTTCATTTCATTCTATCGTCCTACATTTTAATGCGTCTCATCTTCGAGCTTTTAATTCTTGCGTTCCTGCTTCATTTGGCGACGAAACTAAATACTTTGCCATTTAAAATCGTGATGTGAAAAATTACCTATCTTGAGATATTGCAACTAAATAAACAGCATATTAATTATTCGTGTAATTGGATTGAAGCAATATTTACAGTGCCGAGAATCGAATGCCTTGAAAGTGACGGAATTTACCGATGGCAGCGTAATCAATTGCTTAAAATTTAAGTTTAAAATATCAATAATTGTCTTAATGATATGCAGTTAATGAGTTATTGTTGACCAAAAGAATCAGAGATGCCGTACATGGGCACTTAAGTGTTTAATTAACATCTTCTGAACTTATTATTTAATTATCTAATCTTTGAATCTTTGGCTTAGAGGTTTCTCGCATTTTGCATCGTGCGTTGCTCTTCTCCAAGTTAGTTGGAGGATGAACCTCCAGCAATTCAAGTCATAATAACTTTTCCCACCTGCCTCGCTCTAACTACCACCACGAGGTCGTAATAAGAACCGGACATTTAACTTCGCGAACACGTTCACCGAAGGTATTAGAAGGTTGGTATGACTTCTTATTACTAACTCCATTTTCCGCAGTTTTACGTAAACTTGACCGCTTGTTTCGGAAAATATCATAGAATTATACGTATTGCATTGTAAGTCGCGTAGGTAATTTTTCAGTCCGTTTGGATACGCTGATACGTTCATAGGTCTGAGGATCTCATTATAATTTTAAAACTAAGTGCAGAAAGATAATATTTCGTGGAAATCCACGATGGTGACTAAATTTTGTGCAAACACAAATGTCCTCACCTTTAATTAAAGAAAAATCATATATTCTGTAAGTTTTCATTTTCAGTGATGATTTTCGTGTAAAATCGTAACCATGATACGGAAGTATTCACTCTTTTGGCTAAGAGGAAAATCTTGTCGCAAACTTAATACTAATAATTGTGTCGAAAAACTCCACACTAGATTATTGCGTGCAAATAAAGTGTCTGTTCACTAGTTGACGTGCATGGTAACTTCTAATGAAATTGATAGTCTCATGCTATCATGCATTTGATGAGTGGTTTTAAAATTTTCGTTTGGTCAATATTAGGTATAGCTGCAGCATAATGCATTTTGTTCAGAATGTATTTAACTGCATTTTAGCGTAATTATGCTGCAGTGTTCTGTTTAAATAAGATATTTGATCTTCCTTTAAATTAAGATCTTACTTTCTTACTTTACAATTCTACATTCTAAAAGTTTCAAAAATGTTAACAATAATTTTTGAATGAAGTTTGTAGTTTCTTGGAGAAAGTTTTGGAGTTTGCTGCTTGTTTGTAGTATGATAATTAGCGAGTAAAATGACGTTGAACAACATAGCTAAAACAGTAATTAAAATTACCTTTTGTCATGGGAGGGGAGGTGTTTTCCAGCCAATATAAGATGATAAATACACGCTATAGCGCTAATTATTATTTTTATTTATTATTAATATTATTATTATTATTAATATAAGTATTATTATTATTATCATTATTATTACTTGCGATTATTGATGTACTAATTAAAGAAATTGCGTCTGCAATTTAATATTTATTTATGTTAGCATTGTTATGATTGGTTTTACTTGCACAATGTACATTCAGAAAGCCTATAGAATCTGCAGGCTATATAAGGATAGGGCCTAATTACTGGCCCGAAAACCTCAATAGTGAAGAGTAAACTTCATTCAGTTGACTCTACTTCTACTTCTGGAGGCCAGGATATGAGTTGGGTTCAGAGGACCACAAAGGGTCATAAATGTTCACAACCAAGACAATACTAAAGTTTACACGACCTGGACATTTCGTGTGAATTGACAGTTAGTGTGACCGCTTAGCAGGACATTTTTTAATGATGAAATGAAATTAAGCAATCCCATTGAAGCTCCGACCGCTCGTTGTCTGCGAGACGAATTCGTTTTCAGCGAGACGAGTTCGTTTTCAGCGAGAAGAATTCCTTTTCAGCGAGACGAATTCGTTTTCAGCGAGACGAATTCATTTTCAGCGAGACGAATTCGTTTTCAGCGAGACCAATTCGTTTTCAGTGAGACCAATTCGTTTTCAGCGAGACGAATTCGTTTTCAGTGAGACCAATTCGTTTTCAGTGAGACCAATTCGTTTTCAGCGAGACGAATTCGTTGTCTGCGAGACGAATTCGTTTTCAGCGAGACGAATTGTCGCAGTTTACGTTTTCCTGGCAGGTTTGGATGAGATGGCCTGCCGTGGGAGCTTCTTACAGGCGCTGGTGCTGTGCTGCCTGCTGCTGGAGAGCTGCATGGCGGTGAGGGCTCACGAGTCGCCCTCTCACCCTGCAGGGACATACCCCATCAGACAACCGACCACTCGTCCTGCAGGTCTGTACGCTTCTCAAGCCATCAATGAAGCCCTCAACCGCAGCCCTAAATCTGCACTTAGATTGCCGTTCAAAGGTGTGCATGTGAGATAAAGTTGCTTTTTACTCAGCCGAACAGCTTCGAAATCAGGAACCTCATAACGATACATTTATCTCTACTAGTCTTAGTTGGCGGCACATTGCACATGACCGAAACTAATTAAATTGTACCATATATTCACATGGGAAAGTCAACATGCTTTACGGATTAGTTTCGCAATATTTTTTTAATGATTAGACACTAATTTATGGAAAAATATGATCTACACATTTTATCCAATATAAGATATCCAAGAATGTGCTGTATATTGTCCTGTATTTCAAACTACAATCGTCCTCTGTGGTTTATCGACTCACATTCCACATAGACATGTAAGTGACGGGCTAATTTCATTTATTTAAATAAGCCAAAATTTATTCCTGAGCAGGGAAGTCGTTTCATAGTAGGAAAATGGTATTTTCGGTTGTGTATATTGTTTACGGTTTTTACGTTGACTGTGATTCTTTAAAATTTTTGTCTTTCATTTTTTTTATATTTGACGTTAGAAGATTTCCCAAAAGTATTTTATATTTTGTTTCGAGTAATAACAGTTATTTATTGATTCAGACAAATTCTGTTATAAATAACTTAGCTATATCTAACATCGCTTTCTTTTGAGCGTGTTGCCAAATATATTTTTCTTTATGTTTTTAAGTTGCCAAAGTGCATTAAGTTTTTAGTGTTGCCAAATATATTTTTCTTTGTGATTTATTCTACATATTCTATTGTTCTACTACCTTGATATTTAACCTCTTGCTATTCTTAGAAGGACTATGTCTACCATTACCAATTTTTTGCAGTTCAACTTGCATCACATTATATCGTTCAGTATAATAGTTTTTTAATAATTACCAGCTTTGCAGGTTTTCTATTTAGTGAAATTCAGGACTATTTTCCTTGGTAAATTTTTGAATGACGTTTGAAAAACATTATTATTATCATTTAGTTCGAAACTATTCATATTCTACGAACTTGATCATTTCAGACATTTGACATTTAACTCACATTATAGTTTGTAGAGATATATTTCATTCTCGTATTTAGCTCTACAACATCCAGTACGTTTTGTTCCCTTGATATTCCCGTTAAATGAGGTTTTATTAAATTTTATTTGCTCATATTGTCCCAATCATTTATATGCATATGTTAATGTAATCAATCTTGACCCTGAATAATAAACATGCAGAGACAGCGCTTCATTGAGAAATGCTTACATTGTTCATGCTACTGTCAGTTTTTAAAGAGTACTAATTTCGAATAAATTAATGCATCGCAGTTGAGTCCATCGTTTTATCAATTAGTTCTTTTCTCCACCGCGTTTTGTTGCTTATCAAACCGTCACTCATTTTTTATAAGATTTTTATTATGCAGGATATCGGAAAAACATTGCAAGCACATATTCTGAAATGTCCTAATATTGATCAATTTTTAGCGCATTTATTCATTTATGAAAAAATGCAATATTGTGCTCGCCATGTCCGTCCGTCCGTTCGTCCATCTGTCTGTCTGTCTGTCCGTCCGTCCGTGGCTTCACGTTTTCGTCGACGAGAAAATGCGCTCCCTGTCACTCACTGCAGTGAGTACTGAGTTATATTTTATTCTTATCCATCGCGATTTTGGCGCGTGAATAAATGTGATAGTTATAAACTGAACACAGTTCGAGTGGTTCAGCCGATCTTGGCAGCCCTGCCATGTATGCTCTTTATGAGCCCACCAAAATGGATCACGAACTAAGTAGCTTGTAACACAAATCAAACTATGGTTTTTTCTCATTTCAATTTTATAACAATTTCGCAACAGGAAACGATAATTACGAGATAATCTGGACAATGATGGAGATTTTTCATTTTACTATAGTTTGGTGAAATTTTGACCATAAAAAAGTTCGGCTGTAGATTAGTAGATTAGCATGATTTTAGCCTAAAAAATGGTAAAACAGGTAGTAGATTTAGGTCATCGTGCCCAGTGAAAAGATAATCTTCATAGTAATCATATTTTAATAAAATGTACGCAGAGCTCAGTATATAGTAACAGAGAGATGTGTGGTAAATATTATTTCTGCAGACCATGATAAATGCTATGCCGATTGATCCTTTTCACGTGTTAAAAATTATAATCGTGCCATTTTGAGAGCTGAATCTAATCTTACTACAACATGCTTCTCTTTTTATATGTAAATTCTACAGATGAAGTGAAAAAGTTTTACGTCATTTTGTCCCGCACGCAACAGGCGCGACAGTCTCAGCCATGCCCGGCGTCGCTATGAGGAACACCGCAGCCTTACCCGCTCCGGCCATGCCGAGCGTTGCCCTACCAACACTTCCCCCGGTAGGTTATTGTACAGGCTTTTATGTTATATTAATGCAAGTTATTGTTAAGGTATGGAATAATATAATGCTGTTATATTATTTTAATGCAAGTTATTGTTAACGTATTGAATACTATAATGCTATTATATTATTTTAATGCAAGTTTCATTGAAGATTGTTACCACTGATTCATCATTATTGAACTCTGTCACTATTGATTCATCAATGGATTATTATCGATTGTATCTTGGAAACCGGTAATTGCCCCTTTATAAGGTCGTTGAGCTCGATAACTTATTTTCTAATTCATTAACACATTTTCGAAGTTTACTGATGCACTCATTCAAGTTATTTATTCATCATCCATGCTAGCCGTACTTATAAATGCTATTCTGGATATTCAGAAAATTTCCAAAGAAAACTTTCATTTGTGAATTCGGATATTGCATTTCATTGGAGCATCACCAGCTATATATATATAATTGAGTGACGTGCCCTCAAAGTTCGTTTGAATCGGACGTCACGATAAATGCTTCGTAGAATAATAATAATAATAATAATTTTAATAATAATAATAATAATTCCGTTCAATGGAAGGATATAGCTTTGTTTTTGAATGATCACTCACACTGCCTGATTCATCTTTCATAGTTCATTTTTCCATAATTATATAAGATATAATTTCTGACGTAACTTATTTTATTACTGAAGTCGAACATCAAGTTTCTACTGAAAATAACACATTTGTTTATAGTCTTATCGGTTATCATAATAAAAAAATTATTAATGTTATACAACTCCATTGCCCCAACCAAATTTTTCACGTTTTTGAATAGAAAAATGGCATTTTAGTTGTGAGTTTATTATGGAATTATGGTAAAGTTAGTTTTCGTAATCACGCCTTTTCTAGCTAATTGTCCTATCTAGATACGTATTTCTGAGAAATTTCGCAAACGATTCAAATGATCAACAATTCGTTCTCAATCACATTCAAATAATTTTGCAACATGAATAGATCCACCAGGTGTCCAACATTGAACTAATAAAATCAACCCATAAACAATATTCTTCACCATTAACCAGGAGAGAAAAGTCATATCAATATATATTTCTTATTAAAGTCGTCATTACGTTGATCGCAGAGCTACGAGCTACGGGTGTCGGTGCACAGCGTGTTCGACAAGGAGACCTACGACGTGAGGGAGCGAGAGCGCGACGGACAGGCGCATCACAGCCTCCACAGCGAGACCGCCAGCCTCGCGTGTATCTTTGATACCTTCACCAACGAGGGCTTCACACTCGATGGTGAGAGCGTGAAATTACATAGGTTTGATCCATAGAAATACATAGGTTTGATCCATTGAAGTACGTAGGTTTGATCCATAGAAGTCCATAGGTTTGATCCATAGAAGTACGTAGGTTTGATCCACAGAAGTCTATAGGTTTGAGCCATAGAAGTACATAGGTTTGATCCATAGAAGTCCATAGGTTTGATCCATAGAAATAAATAGGTTTGATCCATTGAAGTACGTAGGTTTGATCCATAGAAGTCCATAGGTTTGAGCCATAGAAGTCCATAAATTTGTTCCATAGAAGTACGTAGGTTTGATCCATAGAAGTCCATAGGTTTGATCCATAGAAATACATAGGTTTGATCCATAGAAGTCCATAGGTTTGATCCATAGAAGTCCATAGGTTTGATCCATAGAAATCCATAGGTTTGTTCCATAAAAATTACATCAAATATGATCAAGCCGTGAATAAAGCGCAATAGAATTTTCAGAGGAGATTCTGACTGGTTTAGTTATGATTGGATACAAATTGCTACAAAGAATGTCACGAATTAAATTGTTGGTTCTACGCAGATTAAGAGGATTGTACAGATTAATATTGTAATCGCCACAAAAAATTGCTTCATTAGATCTCCTAATTTTTTATATAACCTCGATTGGAAAAGCTCATTGATACTTTGAACGCCATTAGAAGGAGGCCGATAGACATGAATAATTGAGAGGTCAAACGCAGGCAAACAAACACATACTCGTGTGTTCAGCAATTCATATTCAGTTTTTAAGTAGGCGAGTGTTTCAACTAACCTAGCACTGAATTTGTTATCGACATAGGCAGTTATACCACCCCCATGGAGATTGCGGTAAATGGTAAACTTGTAAAAACCACAAATATTGAACAATTGATCTGAGTTTGAGCAAAGCCACGTTTCCGTTACTAAAATTATTGAAATTTAAAATCTCAAGCGTTAAGAATACCATAAGTGTGTCAAAGTTTTTCTCGTACTTCTAATATTAATTCACACAAATGAAGCGGACTTCGATTTTCGAACAATTTTACTCATTCAGTCTGAAAAAGTATCACCGTCGCACAGTTTACAGCAAATTTTGGTAATATCCGAGACCAGATCATCTTTCAGAGATACTCTAGCTGATAGATTAATTCAGACATAGTGAAAACAGAAAGATTAGCATAATAGACAGGGCATTATATAGACGCTTGAAATCACCAAGGGCACCTCGAATTTAATTAACCAGGTCAGACTCACAATTGATGAATGAGCCTTGTCACTATGCTTAGTCAGCACAAACCTGACCATGCCATGCATATAACTTCACGTTAGACTCATTACATTCCTTCAGCGTTCTTAGCTTGTAAAGAAGAGCAGCTCAAGCTTTGGTCAGGTATTCGTTCACAAATAAGTAATCAGGCTTTTTCCTTTATCTCTAAAAAACATCTAAATCTTGTTCCTCGCCTCCTTGTATAACATAACATAGTGAACTCGGCGCTGAAGTGTAGGCCTGATGTGGCCTGTCGCCGATTCCTTTCCTTTTCGTGCCTTGTTCACAGAAGATCTAAAATCGTGTCATTTGACCGGGTCTTTTCATGACTGGCGATAGTTTGAAGTAGCTACTAGACTTCCACCGGGTTCGATAAGGAGCTAGGCATTTCAAATCTGAACATATATTTTTCCATAGCTTTATCTGAACATATATTTTTCCATAGCTTTATCTAGTCTGTTCTTGAACGCGTAAATAAGCAAAGGGCACTCAACGATGTTTGATGTGTGTTTGTTTACTTCTCGTTCTGTGAGGACGGGAGTATGTTTGATTGCGACTATTCCAGCGTCTAATATTTTATTGTCATTTGAAGCCTCCAATTATTAATGAAATATGTAAAAACTGCAGATGACATGTGCAATTTGTACACGGAAGATACAATTGTTGCTTCTACTTCGATCGTTGACTTGATAAATTTTGATATACTATAGGACGCATTAAAAAGAAATTTTACATTTTATACTTTCGGCATGTGCTCTGGCAGAATTGGCATGTGCTCTGTTTATTGAAATTCATGAAGCGACGGTTAATTTGGGGTTATTTTTATGTATATACATGTATTTTTTGTAATTATACGTTGTGAAGACTCGAATGGGTCCGACTTACTAGTGCCGTTGATATTGATATATTATACATCATTGGCTCATGGCATCGCCCTACAATTGGAATGGCTGACGTACATTACACATGATAGGCTTATGGTACTGTCGTACGACTGGTATTGCTGAAAATATTACATAATAATATTACATAATATTGACATTACTCTCATGTGTTATTGCTGCAGGTATGAAGTGCGGGCGTCAGAAGGACCTGCCGCAGCGCTGCTTCTCCTCTGACCACAAGCGGCGCCCGTACGTTTCGGTCGCGGCGCTCATGAGCTTCCTGAGCCGCCACAACGCTTCGGTTCATCAGGTATCTCCCGTCAACTAAAGTAACAATTAATGATTGAGTAAATTTTTTATGCTTAATTTCAACACCCTTAACACTCGCACTTGATTATTTATACAACATAAATGCCTTCATTATTGCGCGCAAAACCTCATTCAATAAAGCTTTTTCGGCACCAATACAAAATTAACAAGTCGACTACCGAGGCTTAGGACCAACAGTCAAGACATTTAGTTTTTCATTATCGTCTTTAATGTATGCAAATACTGTAACACTGTCCTATTATTAACCTTGGAAAGGATATTTTCCAGGTTGCTACAGTAATTTTTCATGGCATGCAACGACCTTAAAATAGCACTCTTATATGCTTGTTAGTTTCGTAGAGAGACCATCAAAATAAAAGGCTTAGATTAAGTGTGTTTTTTGTTGAAAATGTTTTGATTGGCCTAAACTGGAGTATAAATGCATACTCAGTGAACTTGGCGTCCAATACTGGAAATTTTTTGGCAGCGTAAATTCCTATTACTGATAGCTCCTATTATTACGATGGTGTGATGAAATTTTGAGACACTGACGCCATAAATTACTCTGCTGTCGATGGAGCCGAAACTTGTGTAGCACCACGCACTAGACATCTTGTGGTCTAATAGAGTCCAATTAAAAGCGAGTGAAAAGAAATGACCTTGTGAAAGCCGCATGTTTCTTGATGCAGCATTGAGTTCCTTTCAAAGATTTCTTGCGAGCAGATAGAAACTCATTTAGGAACTGGGCACGTATTTCTCTGCCTAGCCTCGAATACTCCGATCTAAGATTTTGGTTCACTGTAAAGAAGTCTCTTAATGGATTCCAGGAAAGCTTGGGTGCGGTTGAGGTAAGCGTTTGGAGCGCCGCTCACGCCAACATGAGCGTCGAGGCGGCCTTCTCCAACATCAGCCTCCCTGATGACGCTCCTGGCGCCGAGTCTTGGCTCACGCCTCTCTACTTCTCTCTCGCCGGCGACGGTAAGTTTGAAATAAATAGTTGCAGGAGCTGGAACAAAAAATTTCTATAGAAATTGATAGGAATGGACCTGAATGTTCCCGTAATCTGCAATTTTATTTGTTTGTAATACTTCTTGAGCGAATTGGATTTTATTTTCTTAATTAACTGAAGCTGACGTATTAGCATTATTTCGCGAACGTAGACTTTCATGACGCATCTAAGTCAATTTGAACACATATTAGTTAAAGTAGAATGCGGTTGGACGAGTCATAAAGCTGTGTCGCCGTGTCATAACGTAGTTGTTTTATCGATATGTACTTCAAGATTTTAGAATGTAGAATAGACGAGGATAATAATAGAAAATATATTCATCGTTATAGGAAAATCTAAATGTGCATCGACTTCAGCAGCAATACGCAGTTACACACATTAGTATTTGCACGAGCATAAGTAATTATTATTGGTTTTAGCAAATGCAACAGCAGATTAAGAGGCGAAAGTAAACTCTGACTTTTCTACAACTGCGTGTACGTCACTGGTGTAATGCAGAGCATCATTGATATTCACACGAACCAAACACTCCTCCGTTTGACCTAGAAAAACATTCCGTTCAACATAACCTCCATCCTGTTCAAATTCTCTTCGATTTAGACCAGACATACTATATATGTAAAATACTTAGGTATATTAATCAGTGCACTTAACACTACAACATTTCGAAGTAATACCTGTAGTGCTGTCCAGGTTCCGTGTTCCTCGCCGAGGCGGGCAACATCGAGCTGCAGTACCGCGTGCTGGCCGCTCTGCCTCTGCAAGACTCTGTCGCCGACCTCACAATTACACCACCTGGAGTTCTCTGCCCTATTGATGAGAGAAAATATCTACCTAAGTTGGCAAACCAATTCACTCTTACCATGGAGACCGTCATTGAGGTAAGGACCTAAAGTGTTATATGCTGTCAGAAATTGTATCAGAGCAAATTTTATGTTCATCACTATAAACCTCTTCTGAAATCCCTTCGCAATGCATGAAGTGGATTGTTTATTTAAATTGTCGATTCATAATTATTCCATAGATTGAGAGTGTAAAGCAGATGCTGTCAGTTTTAGGTCAATAATCAGATATCATAGGCCGTTCGTCAGATAATCCCGCACTCCGTTCTATCCGACCATTTCTTCTCTCTTCATGAGGTAAAAAATCTTTGCTGGGAGCGCAGAAGCGTGGTGCTAAACACGTTTCGGCTCCAAGTTTTTCATGAAGTTCGCCTCACGGATGACAGCAATTCTGCCTTTGTATGCTTTAAATCCTATCCTAGCTCCCCAACAACCATCTCCTGCTCGCCATCAACTCCAGTAGTCGCGAGGCTGCATGCATAAAGTATTTGTGAGGCAGTAGTCGCCAGGCAGTAACCAGTCGTGAGACATCAATTGCGAAGCAGTAGTCGCCAGGCAGCAATCGCGAGACAGTAGTGGCGAGGCAGAAGTCTCGAAGCAGTAGTCACACTGCAGGAGGTGAAACCCGCGTAATCCCTGCGTCTTGGAAAGAACCGGTGCCGCACGTGCATTTCGATTAACGCCTAAGATTAATTAAGAGAGTGCGTAATGAAAACATGAACTTGCACTCAGAAATTAATGGAACCTTGTCCAAATAATGTTTGTCTGCCCTTATGTGGGTCATCTCAACATAATTTGGCCCGAAAAATAGACGTATCAGTTCTACCCGCAGCAAATGTTTCACTATCTGCACGATATGAACCACACATTTTCCGAGCGTGTAAACGTAACAGGAACCAAAAGGTTTGATTGCGAAGCGAAAAATCAAATAAAAATTTTATGATTTCGCAATCCATAACTTTAACTGAATGTGTGAATTAAAATACAATTTTTGTTAAATGAGTAGTGATAAGATTTTGTTGAATAGTTCACTCAAGCTATTGAAAATTGGTTTCAACATCTCATTAATAACAGAATTTGGGAACAATTGCGTACGAGCATCAGAGCTACGACTCAGAAGAGAAGTTTGTGTCGTACACGTACCGACCTCACCTCCACGCACAAGATATGATGTTTGTCCACAATGTGCCCCGACGGGAGAACTTCACCGCTGACCGCACCTACAGAGTCGTGCACGACTTCAGGACCGGTGAGATGTGAGCTCCCGATGATAAACTGGGAGCATGAGTAATTGGATCGATCACTAGAACAGCATTCATTCATCAATTATCATGCAGTTTGTTTTTAGTAACACTATGAAATTTATTAATTTTTTTTGCGATGACAGGGCTTCACCGTGGATCGACTTGAATAATAGTAATGTTCACTTAATAAGACGATAGATTTTGCGCAGCATAGACAATCAACGCTTAATTTTAGGCCGTCATATAGGCAATAAATATTTACATTTTCAGTCAATATTTCAATTTGTATTTGAACCAGCTTCAGCAATCACGGCAGAAATTTAATACCTTTGGCAAGGAAATCTGTAATCTTGCTGAATCAAACGCTTAAAGCGGTGTGCGCTTCTCTCATATGTTATTAAAGTATGCGCAACTGAGTAATTTATTACCGAGTACTTGCATTTTAAATTTTTCTTTACTCTGCAATTTCATTATTTTTATTGAATCCTAGAATTTTTTCGAAAATTGCAATGATATCATACAAATATTGATTACTCAGCAATTCCGTTATTGCATCCTCGCGCCAGGTGTGCAGTACATTATCGACGAGACGAGCAGCAACTGCAGCATCGAGTACATCCCTCTGACGGCCCTAGACGCCACCCTCGTCGACAACCAAACCATCCGCCTGCGCCACGCATCCGAGCTCATCTCCCTCGACCCCAACTCTTTTATTTACAAAGGAACGGTGAGTTAGTTGAACGACTTGGCGAACCATTCGACTCCCAGTGTGATAGTGCATTAGAAAAAATAAATTATGCCTTTCGAATTTAATTCATATATAAAAATTGTAAGGACAAATTCAATCGTCAAGTTTAAACCCTCTCAAACCCAACCCTGGACCTATCTCCGTTTTCAATACCTCACGGTTCTCCCGTCAAAAACAAAATTTCATATCCAGGTTATGTATGATACGAAAAAAGTGAAAACACGCTCGAATATCTCTTATATATTTCAGGTAAAAAAATAAGATTCACAAACATATCAGTGATTATGTATTTTCTACCATTTTTGAAACAGAGAAAGATTCGAGGCATCCTCTGTGATGTGTGGATCGCAGACCGCGGCACTCGCAAGGGTCAGTACTCGACAGTGGAGATTTACTTCACGCACGACAGCTGGTCGGTCGAGTTTGAAGTGCTCAACAGCCGCCAGCGAGTGCCTGTTGGCCTGTCTTCGTACGTCGCAGACGTTGTGAGTCTCGTATTACTTTTTATTGTATTATTGTATGAAATGTTTTAGAATAACGGAACGCGATAATTGAATGAAAAATATAACTCAGTACTCACTGGAGTGAGTGACAGAGAGCGCATTTTCTCAAAGTCGACGAAAACGTGAAGTCGTGGATAGACGGACGAACGGACGGACGGACATAAAGGGCGTTTTTTCATAAATGAGAAAAATGCGCTAAAGAGAAGCTTAAATATTGGGGCCTCTAGTCCGAGAAAATTATGTTTATTACTTGGAGGTCATTATGCTATTTCTTGAGGCGAGTAAAATTTTAAAGTCTCTTCAAGCATTCATTCTGCCCACTTTCTTGCTGCTTAAACCTGTTGCGGAACGGTTCTTCTATACTCATCACCACATCTCCACTCATAAATGTTAACTTCAATCATACGTAAAACACTCACCCTCACCGCATTTTTTTGCGATTTTTTGGTTACTTTAGGTTATTTATTTTTATACTTTTTTCTTTACATGAATTCATTATGCTTCAATTATTCATTACGGTCACCTTACTCCACTGTTGTCAAGACAGGGCTTGTGATGACGTCACTGCCAGCACATCATACGCGAACCAAGGATCTGTTCTAATTTTGCAAGCCTTCGTGTTCAATTAATATGCATTTTGAAATACCGTTGTTATTAAATTGCTTATTACCTTCACGTGAGTGTGATGTGGATTTTAAGTAGAGATAGGCTTAGGAATAAACATAGAGCTAAGTTGACATCTTCACACGAAAATAACACCCCATTGTGGTCCAACCTTAAAACAGATATTTGGTTAACACATTTGATTTGTTTGCAGCGCAATATGAAGGAATGGAGCTCAGTGGTGCACACATTCTTCTACGAGTACAGCGACAATCACCCGTCGTGGGACGAGTTCGACGTCTCGCCATGCCTGAAGCGAATCAACAGCCTCTTCCTGCTTCTCACCCTGAACGTTCCCTACAGTGAACTAGCTTACTACAACCTCGAAATTGTTAAGAACTCCATCAGGAACGCCATAGCAAGCATCGCCGGCGTCTCGCCACTTAGAATCACCGATTTATTTGTGAGTAAATTATCTGGTCGCATGAGAGAAGTTAAATATTATGAACAATATTGAAAAGCTCAACCTATGCTTGAAAAGGAAATGATGGGGAAATGACTTTTATAAAGTGGATTACATTTCAACATAGCCGAATATCCGATGATGAACAAAAAATATTCAAATTCATAATGAGTAGCTAAATTTAAAAATCCGCAATATAACTAACGGTAATCTCAATATGGTGGTCGCAATGGGTGCGTGAAGTATAGGCAACACCCGCTGCACTGCATAGTACATGTGTTCAAAAAAAAGAATAATATGCAACGAAGTTAGTCACCTAAATTTATTCAGTGACACAAATGAAATAATACTCCAGCACTCACTCTGTGTTATATAAATGCAGTTGAGTAGTCGTCCCGGCGCCGCGGAGCTTGACGTAGTCTTCGTGCTGCTGGAGAAGCCCAACGTGGTGGACGAAGCTCGCCGCGCGCGAGTGCTCAAGCTGCGGCCACAGCTCCTCATGGCGGACGCTTACAAGCTCCTGCACGACGTCAACCTGAAGCACAACGTCTCCATTAAGCTCGATTTGTCGCCTCACAAGAAGCTTGTAAGTTTAGAAGTCTATGAATATTTTCCGCTAATGTGGATCTCTGCAAATTTTCTTTCCTTCCAAGTCGTGCTGTGACGATGGTGGAGTTTTTCATATCCCCATTTTTTTGGCGGGCGAGAATCTGTTTGAATCGTACAACTTGAAATCTCACTGCATAAGTGAACATAATATATTCAAGGGTACCATTATTGAACAAATTAATTAGTATGATTACAAAATTATTATAACATTATTTCGAATTAAATATAATTAAATATTATAACTGTATATCACCGAATAATATTACGTTCTTTATATATCATTACATTAGCAAATGTATACATGAATGATCGATTATGAAGGATTTATACCTTATGGGCATATCGAACGAATCAAATTTGCCTATTTGATTTGCATGCTCAAGGGCAACCATTATAGATAGGCGTGTAAGCTACTTCTCACGATCAATGAACCTTCCTCATTGTTCAGATCGTAACGATCAAGTGCGGATCGCTGGAGACCACGTCTGGTGTACTTCACCCCTCGAAGCGCCACAAGTCACTGAGGTTCGTACAAGCGGGCTACACGGCTGGCAGCATGGCGGGGCTCGGCTTCTCCATGGCCATACTAGGCACCTGCGTCGGTATCTTCATCGGCTTCTTGTTGTGGAAACATTCTAGCGCAATACCGTACCAGGTGACGGACTGACATAGTGGCGCGCCCGCTGTCGTACATCTGCTTCGCTGAATTGACAGGATACCACAAAAAATTCATCATTAGACAGATACATGCAATAATACTCGTCCGTAACATTATTTATTATTGATGAATGGCAACTCTTCGTGGATTTTATATATCGAGATAACTGATGAGTTTAAATACGAGGGAACGGTTTTAAATCGTCTTCGGTGAGACATTAAAGGAACTCGATGTTGTATTGAATTCCGATAATTATAACGTCTTGTCCAACTAAATTTCTTGTAATTGTTATCTTAAAAATTTAGTATAGAATTGTCATAAGTGCCAAGTGAAAATCAAAAATGTACTCAATAATCATAATTTCAAAATATATGCGTGTTATCATGGGTAAATATGTTTCTTGTTTTAAAGGTTTGGAACACCTCCCGTTACATATGCTTCTATTTACCTATATTTATTTTCGATGTATACAATTCAAGTTTTCGCATCCATTCAAACAAGTTAATGGCTCGTTTGCATGCCTAATCTCAAGCGATTCACTTGAATTAAATCCTTGTCCATTACGTGGAAATTTGTATTAATGGTAGTTGGAGCAATGATGCACCAAAATACAAGTCAATCAATGTTAATATACGACGAAAATTTGCTTACTAAAAATTCCTTTTATTAAGACGTCGAAGCTTTTACAGAGGAATGTTTCCGACACTGGAATGCCCCGAATGTTTCCGACACTGGAAGCAACCATCCATAAACGTCCAGTAACTTTATATACATTTACTAAATTAGAATTTGACCAATAAAATATTTTTTTTTAAGTTATGTCGTTTCAAAATAACCAACATGCATATTTTTAAAAAAGTTACCTATTGACTTTAAAAATATAACTCAGTACTCCTGCAGTGAGTGACAGAGAGCGCATTTTCTCGTCGACGAAAACTTGAAGTCACTAACGGACAGACAGACGGACAGACAGACGGACAGGCATGACGAGCACAGTAGTGCATTTTTTCCATAAATGAGAAAATGCGCTAAAAAGTAAACAAATTTTGTTATTCCATATAATTTTCATGTATCACTTTTCCACGGCATAAAACGTCTCTTTATTAGAAGATGTGTTCGATTTTTACGTGAATTTCGCCCTCATTATGGCTCTTCTAATCAACAGCCAATAGGAACGAATCTAGTTCGCTGAATATATAAGTATTCAGTATATAAGAGATCCCGCTGTAGAATTATATTTACTTCATAGGGAGTTGGATGTTCTTACGTGTACAAATAAAACATCAAATTAGAAAAAAACACTGGGTGCTCTGTACTGTCTATTGATGATCATGATTCATTATTGTAACGACGGCTAAATTTAATGTATATACATATTAAAAAATGAAAAAAATACGACGAGTCTAACTCATAAAGAGAGAGCTTAAGCTGAGAGTGAGGATAAAAGAAAAACAATTGTAAGATAATACAGAAAACATAAATATATACCTGAATACGAAAAAATCAATATCCGTTCGCAACACATTTTATCACAATTGTCAGAGTTGTATTATAAGCAGCGTTTAAAGTGCATATATTCCAGAGAAAATTAGCAGGCAATCCCGTATAGAATAAATGAAAATATAAATAAATGACGCAAGTGGTCCTAAAAAATACAACGACATGCGGAACATCATCTTGTGAATTAATCCGAGGATAAATTTAAGCACACATCTGTTCATAAAATTGCTCGAAAAATAATAATATGGCTATAAAAATTATCCATCTAAATTCTAATATATAGCGGTTTCAGCATATATTAGGTCGTTGGCCTGTCGCCGACTCTAAACCTCACATGCAGAACATTCACAGCTTGTTGCGGTCTCAAACTATTAACTCACTGCTCATATTCTGCTGTGCTTAACCGCCCGGCCTCCTTGCCGATTCTGCCAGAAACTGGCGCACATAGCTGGGATCGAACCTGCGCCTCTCTGCTCTAATCCTGGTGGTGCTCTGAACTTTAACCTCTGGGGCACCCATCTCGAGGATCTTCTCTGTAAATTGATGATCTAAATTAGAAATTAATAATCGATTAACTCTGACGATTAAAATGTTGTACATTTCCGTTTTTGTATGAACTACCCACTGATTTTTGTGCACATGGCTGTACGGTGCTCTATTCGCATGCATACAACAATTCGAGTAAATAGAAATAAATAATCACGTCATGGTTGGGTGTGACTGTGTGAGTGTCATAAACAAGATTCTTTTTAACCTCACGACTCGCGTATCACCATTAATTTAGTGAGGTGCTGCAGCTTTCAATTAAATAACTACTAATTTTATGATAGTAAAAAGTTGATCAGTGTTTATTCAAGAAAGTCTTTACTCATATTCCTATAAGAGTTAGAAAAAGCATTTGTTGACTGTACTTATGTTTTGACGTATACATTGACATTGTGTTCGATATATATATTTTTCTCTCCATCGCGGGCCTAGTATGTTTGAAACAGGAGAACCAAGCCTATTGGATGCCCTAGCTTGGGATGAGCCTGTTGAGCTAGACGACATTAGTTTGCCAATAAGGTGCTTGTACACGGGGACAGTGCAGGCTGCAAATAGATCTGGCAAATGTCTGCCGCTTGGTGACTATCCGGCAAGTAAGCCTGTACATGAGGACAGTATAAGGTGCCGATATCTTCTCGTTCGCGCCCGCCAGTGCGTCGTTAGAAGCGTCGAGTGAGGTCTGTGAACAGGGAAAGTGAGATCAATTTCATCAACTCGAGTCTGTACGTTGTTTTTATACTCTGTAATCTTGCCCTTAAAAAAGGCAACGTCGGGTACAACTGAACCCTGACTAATGAAGTATTCGCTCGGTTTCGAAATAGTCGTTTCTCTCTTTATTTCATTGGAGTAACCAGCATGGCGAACGTTCCATATTTATTAATTTTTTTGGAATATCTGCAAAAACAATTAAATATCTTCTGGACTCCACTTTGTTAGGTTCTTCTTAGAACCATTCTCGTTTTTGAAATTGCAAATAACGCGACGGTTTAAGAGGTTCAACGCTTACATCTCAGAAAATATTCAACCCAGAGAATGCGAAGTGATGAAGTAAGGCGAATCAATCGCTCATTTAATGTAAATCACCACTCCGAACTCGGCAGTAACATTTAGCAATCGCCAATAGTGCTTTAGAACAAAACCACCGCGTACGACTTGAAGGGTTCAACGCTTAAAACTCAGAAATTATTCAACCCAGAGAGTGCAGAGCGGTGAAATTGAGAGAATAAATCACTTATTAAATGTAACTCACTACTGCCTTTTCTATGGGTTCAATAGAAATCTGATATATGAGCGCTGCACCTTATAAACCGTATTTAATACTATTGCCGTGTACGGATTGGTGATTTACTTATAAGTATAAGTGCTTGATTATTCTTATTTCACCACTCCGCACTCGCTGGGTTGAATATATCTGAGATACAAGCGTTGAAGCTGTGGAACATGAAGCGATCTTCAGGTTTCACTAGAAATGGCAGGAGAAGAAAGTTGAACATGTTTAAGCAGACAACGGGTAGATCTGTCTGAAACGCTATGGTTCAAGTTTCATTTTATATAATATGAAAAGTTGGTGTTTTTTGAAACCAGTGATTTCATGGTTGAATTAATTAATTCAATCATGAGTGCTTTCAAGTGACATTATTTTAAAGCGTTTGCTCCTAAAATTATGGAATCAGCTGATTCTCCGCCAAATTCGATCGATCCATTGTTCGCCACGTGTTCGGCACTTCAGCGGGGAGCGCAGCCGTGCACCAATAAGCCCTGAATCGAACGCCTTGGATCTCTCCGGACCTACACCAATCAGCCGTGCACCACTCGGCTTTGTCCTCTTCCGGCCTTGACCACCACCTGCCGTGCACCACCAGGCCGCGGATCGAATATGACTTCCAGGCATCGTCAAATTACGTAATTTTACGTTCACCGCATCTGAGGTTAGGTTTCAGATAGCATAGTTCTGTTCCAAAATTTATCGTCCTTCGACAAGTGGCCGTTCGATCGAGGGCTGGTTCGACCCACTGCCTAGATACGGACGGCTTGAAGTGTTGAAGGCTACGTCCCGGAAGGCAGGAATCATGATGGTCCATTACATCCAGGGCAGCGGTGGTCTTCGGCAGGCGACCCTTGACTTATAGTCAATACTCAGCGTATTCAGACGATTCAGCGACCATCACCTTCAGCATCTAAGTGACTAAGTGTGACTCCCACACCACTGACACCAGTCGTAGCTCGATTAGTCATTAGTGATTAGTGTGATGCTTCTTGCTTGTGTATCTTGTCGTTTGCATTATGATTTGTTTTGATCAGGGCAAACAGCCCATGGACTGATGGACACTTTAGTTCTTTTAATATGAGAAGAAAATTGGGAACGTCGAAGCGGTTTATAGCTAGGCTAAGTACCTAACTGGGACGAGTGGGGATTGAATGTTAATAATTGCTACTTGGGACCTTATCAATTATCTAAATTGGTAGGTACTTGGTACTTGGTAGTAGCCTATATCAATGTATCATTTCATTCATTTGTGTGAAAAAATGTTTGATAATTATTATCATAAATATGATAGTGATACTTTTATATCATTTGTATCTATAATTTCTCTACTTTATTTGCCTTACTTGCCATTATGGCATTATTTAGGCGGTATTATTGCAGATTAACTACATCCAAAAAAAAGGGTGTTTTTTTTTTAATTATATGTTTTTTGGGGTGTAGATTACAAATCTGAAATCCATTTTTGGCGGTCGGCATCGGAAAACCGATTTTTTTCGCGACTTACTAACATGGGGGTTACGTAACTTACGTTACCCACTCACCTTTATTTACTAACATGGGAAAATGGAATCACGGCTGGCAAATCCATAAAACCACGGCTCGAAAAATTCAGTCGCGGCTCGCCAAGTAGATATATTCCATACTTGAGCCGCTAGCCTAACTAGTGTGCTTTTTAATGTAGCGGCCAAATGATACAAATCAAATTCTGTATAGCCTAAATAATAAAAAGCGATTGTTCTTTGCTCATTGGTCACTGGGGAGTGGGGGCAAATAGTGACAAACCAGTGAATATTTAGAATCAGATCATTTTTAATTTTATCATTTACACAAGATTTAAACCAATATCTTATGTAAGATGATGCTGGTATCCATGATACTTTGCTGGTCTACTTATAAGACTTAAAATTTAACTTGAATGAGAGGCTAAAGATCTCCCTGCTTTGCCACTATCATACTATGCTGGCTGCTGGGGCATTTGCTTTTGAGCAAAAATTGATAGGTAGTTGAAATTGCTTCCTTGCTCCCATGCCACGCATGATGCCTCTAATGAAACTAAATTTCAAAATTTTAATTGCACCACAAATTTTTAATTTGTTGTAGTGTATTTGATTGGAATTTGGAACAACCATTACAACATTTTTATCATCCATATAATTTGCCACACAAATGTATAATATAGGGTAAACGCGGTATATTCCGACACATTAAGGACGCATCGAGAAATGAAAAACTATAATAAAAAACCGCATGCGTTACGTAAGTTCTGTTGGCTTCACGTGACTCTCAAAACACCTCACTACGCGTCAGCAATGATGAAACGTCACAAAATGTTGCCATATTTATAAAAAAGCCTTTAGAATGGAAACCTACTAAATCCCTATATTCCGTCACTGTGTGTGGCAATATCTGACACGTGGTGAGTCATATTGCGTCAGCGCTTCAAATTTAACTGATACGTAATGCCGACATCCACGTGTTCGAATTCCGTTTGCTGTGTGAGCTGTATTGGGATACAACACGGCTTTGAATTAGAACACTAATGAATATTGAACACTACTTAGTTACGTTTTAATTAACAGCTATTAGGCTTTTAATTAAGCAAATTTCAATTTTTGTACAAAGCTTGGAACGATCTGTGTGTGTCCAATTCAAGTTGTGTCGGAATTAGTTTTGATGGGTCTAAATCCAACACTCAACTTAATCATCTATTAATTTATTTACGACTTAAAATCAGCGAATACAAGTTCACTTAAAGGATTCCTAATATATTCACAGACGTATTTAAAAGTCTCAAACCATAATATTCTTCCTATAAAAACAGTTATTCACTATTTGGTAGAGCAAGGTCAACTGTCAAATTTGACACATTTTTCGATGATCTCACCAGGTGGCATGCATTGTCTCTCTTTGGATCTCAATATTTTCCCACTAGATGGCCAAGACCTAGTGTTTTTGCAGTATTTCGACACGCAAATGTATGACGTCACCATTTCAACCATCAACGAACGCATGGAACTAAAACAAAGCTTAATATAAAGGAAAAACTAGAGAGGTGACGGAATTACCTACAATGTCGGAATATACCGCGTTTACCCTATGCACAAATTGTAGCTATGTGTCCTTGCACATACAAATGTGCCTGAGATATAGAATTCAAGGCTCAAAAAAAAATTAAATCACAGCTTGATGAAATATAATCACGGCTGGTGAATCCATAAAACCATGGCACGAAAAATTCATTTGCGGCTCATGAAGTAGATATATTCCATGCCTGCTGAGTGCTGACAGTTACTGTTTTGAATAATTACTTTTGTAATTGAGTATTAAGTGAAACAATGAACTGATGGCAAATTGATATTTTTGATTGCATCATATTTGAACATTAGCAGGAAGCAAGCTCTGCATATCTATAGATAGGGCAGTCAACTATTGGCTACTAGAATTACTGCAATACAAGCTCACTTAACTCCTTTGTTCATATTTTAAGCTTCTTGCTTTGTGTCATCTGTGCTAAAGATGTTAAAACTGCCGGCCAACTGCGTAGACTCAAGACATCAGAACTGCCTGCAATGTATCAGAATCAAAAATATTCATATCACAATGATAAATATTTATAATATCCAAGAAACAGGATGTGTGGCCGTGTTTGCATAGGCTCAAACCCAACTTAAGAGTTATAGGCAGAGCTTGCAGTGACAGCACTTGGGATGCATATTGCATGTGATGTCACATGCAATACATCATACAGCAATTATTTTTAGAAAAATTTTGTGGGCCATTTTTGAATTGAAATATGCTTCACATCTTATTTTCATAGAATCAAATAATTAATACTTGTTATTATTGTTGAATATCAACAAATAATATTGTGGAGCAGTAATTTCACTTGATAATAATTTTCTCTTATGGCTTTCACCCATATAAAACTTATCTCAGATAGACTAATTACAGACTAGTAATGGAGAAATTCACATGACATAAGTTTGACATTTTACTTGAAAATTCTTTATTCAGGTGATGAATTTCACTTGTAAGGAAGCATGAAAATATGGAGATACAACTCATATGATAAATTAGTAGCATAAGTGATGATTATGCAGTTATGAGTGATGATTATAGCCAAATTATAATTTATTTAACAAGTAACTAGTATATATAATAAAATAGATATTTTAAAATTTTTTAACAGTAATAGCATTGAAATCTATGTGGAAACATAAGTTTATTTTCATTTTTTTAGGAATTGAATGGCTTAAAACCCATTTCAATAAGTACTTTTTGTGGATTGGTCCATAAACATTGACATACTATAATACAGTACTATATCAATGTTGAACTATAAAATTGCATCATGTTGATAGCTTGCATGGCTACTTCAACACTGACTGGATAAGGAAAGGATATAGTGATGGGAGCTCTTAGAAGAAAGCAGATATAAATAAATGCCCAAATGCAGAGTCTACATTAAACACCCTGTGCCAGATCCAGAACCAGCTCCCTGAGTCTTCAGTGACTAGTGTGGCACACGATTTGCCTCCTATTGATGTGCAAACCAGTGGCAATGCACAGGTAATATGCATCAATCCTGCTGATGAAGCCTGAAAGAAAATGCTGACAGCACCAGAACCAGGATGAGATTCTGGAAATGATTGTTAATAATATATTTTCAATCAACCTTGGCAGTTTTTCTGTCCAAAAATTTTAGTTGGAAGGAGAGAAGACAAGATAAGAGAAGGAAGAAAAATAGGAGAGAAGATCAAGAAGCCTCATCTGACAATTTCTTTGATTGCAGTTGTTATGAAATAAAATGTATGTTTTAAATAATGTTTACCATATATTCAGTTGTATGGCCATGCTTACTTTGAGCAAGCTCAAGTTGTTGCTGTGGACACTTGACTTGACTACAACCAGCACTTGACTTCATCAGCTGTTAGGACCTCTAGCATTTTTACCCATGAAATGGAATATGAACTAAGTGTGAAATTTGGAAAAGCTAACCTTTGGCATGCATCCCCCTGAATTAGCCCTCTGCCCACAGATGGGGGCTTAGGCGGGGCAGTCCTAAAACTATTCTTATGTTACATACTCTTCTTATGTTACATACAAATGAATTATGACCAGTATATTGCACACACAATTAGTGAAATATATCTGTAAATACACATCAAAGCCTGCTGAGAATTTTGTTAATTTTTGTAATTATCAGCACATATTAACTCTCTCTCTGTGTCTCAATGCCTCCAACAATTGTTAGGACCAGCCCACTAGGAATTAGGAACTGAGGAAAATGTCTCTAAGCTCATGTATCCAAAAATTGTCCTGAATGCATAGTGACAAAACAAGCATTTTCTGGAATCTGTTTATTTTTAATTTTCTTGCCCACTCGAGATTTTTGTCAATATTTTGTGTATGATATAATGATAATGTTGGTATCCATGATGATGATAATACTTTATAAGTCAAGGGTTACTTAGAGGAAATAAAAGTAACCTTGAGGAAGAGTATCTGAAGAAAAAAAAAGTCTTGGAGAAGAAAAAAGTTTCTGCTCTGCCACTACTATGTAGCTGAATGGATAACTACCATATTTAACTTCTTTTATGAACATTTATGTTGTATACATTTGATACTTTTCAGTTGATTATGTGATTGCGAATACTAAATTGTTTTTGAATTTGAGCCTGTAGCACTAAACCCATAATTTCGTCTACATCTGGCATATGTTACTCATTAAAAAATTGTTGAAATAGACTAAATAGGTAAAAATGGTGAGTTTCTTGTATGATTATCTTGATTTGCACAATACTCTTGATAATACTCATTTCATATGTTGAAACTTTGAACATTATCACAATTCTCTTTTATGTTCTCAAGATGCCATTTGATTTTAAAGCATAACATTTTTCCTTAATATTATACCTGAAAAATTGCACTATGTTTATTTGTGTTATTTCTTTCCAAGAAATAATTTATCAATTCATACGTATAATTTGAGGTACCAGTAATTGATATGTTTATACTATACCTCTTCATTCCTGTTCCTATGCCATACTTGTATTTCATATCCCTGTTTTGCTTATTATCATGAATTATGTACCTATAGTAGATAAAAACTATATAATTTTTAATTAGGTTGACTGACTGTAAAGTGTGGCACAACATAGGTCAAGGAGGCCTGATTCATTACCTCAAAGAACTCATTTCCTATGGTAAACTCATTTCCATCCTATGTTTTCATAGGAACTAGTTTATGCAGAAGTGCTATTTTCTAAAAACATAGATCAATGTAACATGCTTATTCAAGAACATGTAACAGCTTCATTTATGCATGTGTTTTGTAAAAGCAAACCTAAATTTTTCATCTCATTCATCCATTTCATGCTTGTAGAGTTGGCACAACTCTAAATTTAATGGTCTCCCTACAGCATAGTTGAGAATCTTGTGTATGGAAAATGTAAATTTCTTGCCTAGTTTTCACTCTGCTGGTTGCCCAAGTTAATTTAGGTATTGAAATAATTTTAGTGATGACAACTGCTATTGAATCATCTATGTAAACAAGAGCTTGGGAGAAAATTATATCTGCTACATGGTTTAAATCCTGTGCATGAAAAAAAGCAATTTTATCTGTGCATTAATTAATTTATTTGAATTGTTTCTATTGTATTTACTATAATTTATGAGTTCAAATTCTCATTTTAATTGTAGTGATGAGATTAATATGAAATAATGATCACTCTGAGTCTATTTTGATTAAAACTCATGCTTTGTATTGGCTCATCTGTGGATTTTTATGAACCTAAGGCAAAAATATTGATCTTTTGCAGCATGGTCGTTTGAAGGTGAAAGATTCTTCTGAAAAAGCTGCCGAAAAGGCTATTGAAAGAGAAAAGAAGAGAGTTAAATATGTGGCTGGGATTCAATTTCTCTTTGAAATGGTGAGATATTATTCATTACTATGAATAGAAGAAGACTTGCTTATACAAAGTTCTTTCTGCATATCCTAACCTAAATGTGGAAAGTAACATAAAAAATGACAAAAGTTGATGTTTTCAAGTGAATTAGAATAGTCTCCCAGATCTTTTTAAAAAACTGCTTGTTTCTATACTTTGTAGAAATTTTGACTGTCCAATTTCTGGCTTATTTTTCCAGAAGAATATCTTGAACTATGCAAGCATAATAAGAGGGTGTTCTATGATCAGGCTCAGAGATCCTGTTCTGTAAAATAAGTATATAGAGTATATATAGTAGATTATTGTTTCTGTATATAGTAGATTATTGTTTCTGCAGCGGGAGCGTGGTAGCTACAATGCCGAGGCCTTCAAGAGTAGTGCGCTCTTACTCCAAGTCAACCCAGACGCTCTTACTCTATGGTGTATTAGAAGAGAAATACTCCTTTATTTAAGGTAATTGTGCCTAATTGCTGAAATATGTTTCACTTTAATAGAGTACTATAATTAGCTGAAATTCTGCTATGATTTCATGTTCAGCAGTTTTTTGAGACTCATGTGGCTTCAATTTATGGAAAGATGTACTGTAGAAGATTTGTTGTTGCAAGTATTTTTCATATTGTAAATTATACTTCTCTCAGCATTCTTCACTCTATATATACTACGTATATCAAAATTTGTTATAAATTGTTTGGATCCTGCCATAAAATATAAATTCATTCTAGAATGATAGCTAAAAGTATAAATTCATTTGGCTTATCTATCACTGATATCAAATACATCCTATGGCTAGAATGATCCTGACTTCTAAGATATGTTGTGCAAATGCAATGAGGCATCAGTTGTTTATACAATTTTATCAACCATCAACAGCACTGATACCTTGAAGTTGTCTTTGTATGAGCCAAACCATTTATAGATTCCTCCTGCTAGTAATGCAAAAAAGTAAATGTACAAAGTGAACTCACAGCCAGAAACTAATATGTTATTGCCTGCATAGTTACCACTAGCCTATCACTTTTCCATAATATTTTTTCAATTGAGCATTTGCTATATTTTGTTAACTTAAAATTTTAACTCAAATTTTATGAATGATTTCATATTAAAAATTTGTTTCAGGAAAAGACATTATGAAAATAAATTATTAAGGTCAGAAGATGATGGAAACAAGACTGAGAAAACAACTGAGACTGCTGATGAACAAGATGGAGAAGTAGCTGATGAAAAGGATGCATCATCTACTAATCATGTTGAACATTCTGATTGGAAAGGTTTACCTCAAACCTGGAAAGAATTGGCATCATCTGAGCTTTCAGTGGTTGCTTCTTGTCTGCAAGCCAACCCTAAGAGCTATGGCGCCTGGCATCACAGGTCAGAATATTTACCTTCTCCTGAACCCATAAATAGAAAACTAGGTACTTTAAACATCAATCATTCCAAATATCTCCTAAAGTAAGCTGAACTTTTTTTCAGCTGATTATTCTTTTGCCTCCAGTAAGCTAGCAAACTTTATAGGTTCTCAATAATTTCTTTTAATTGATTGCATTGAAAGGCAAGCTGATAAAAAATGTCTATATATTAATAGCTTTTGAGGACCAGTATTTGATCCAGTCATTTATTTACAGTAAAAATATTACATGAAAAATATCCTACTGTTTTCTAATCCTAGGTGATTGATAATGGTTCAAAACATGAAAATTCAATTTGAAAATTTGACAACTCCGAGTTAGTGTTGGAATTTTAGCCCGCAATCAGTGTTGAATGTGCATTAATTTATCAAATTGTGAAGAGTGTGTGTCCGGGGTCTATTTCTGGGACCCCTGATAGATTAGTAACTGAGAGTCAGGACTCTAGTAGTTCCAAGTATGACTATGGCAGGATCAGTGAAACGAACGGTTAACACTAGATCTATTATTATTATAATAAAGTGGCTCGGTGAGTACAGAAGTAAGGGGATTGACAGGCACAGCACAAGTACGTGCTGGAGGAGCGGCTAGCAAGGTGATAGCTAGGCAGTACCGCTACAACTGACGAGCGGTGCACAGATCGAGTTATATATAGGCCTTAACAGGGATGACGTCACTGAGTGTGACTCTACCATGTGGGTACAGAACATGTTATAAGAGGGTGACGTATGATAACCTAGAGGGTGATAGAAGATACCCTGACATGTGTGAAGGAGGGCAGTGAGGTTATTATGTTCACAATGGGAAGAGTTATAAATATTATTAGACAAGAAACAAATGAACTTTCTAAATGGGTTCTTGAAAATTGAAATGGCAATTCATTTGTTCAGATTTTGGGTGCTGCAGCAGCTGTGCAATGATATTTCTGAAGAAGATCAGCAGAAAGTATGGAAGGAGGAGCTAGAGTTATGCAACCTTTTTCTCTCCAAGGACGAACGAAACTGTAAGTTATCAAATTTCTTATGCTTGAAATGCCTCTCTTCTTTAAGAAAAATAAAAAGATAATTCATATTATAGTTATTTGCTGAAATTTCATGGCCATTAAAATTGTTGACATTTTTATGTGTTAATTAACATTTAACAGCCACATTTGTGGCATCTTCATCAAGTCTCTTCATTAGGAAGATTCTGTATGAATGGATCCTGTGGGTAAATTTCTTCACTTTTACTACTCATTTACTACTCAGACTACTTTTGTTAAGAAAAGTGTTCCAATTTCCCTCAGAGGTGTTTTGTTTTGATGATTGTGATAAACCAGCATTCAAATCTCCCATTTTCGTTCATTTATCCAGAAATAATTGTCAGAGAACATGAATCTGGTGCTTGTGGCAGCTAGAGCTGCCTAACTTATCTCACAATACCGTCTGCGGAATTATTGATAAGTAAAATTCTATTAAAATTAAAAAAATATGCATATAATTACAGATGGTTTCATGTGTAAGAGTATGTTTGCGTGGTGCAGTTCACTGCTGGGACCACCGCCGCGCCGTGACTGCCTGTGGTGCCGTGCCAGCTGAGCGCGAGCTGCGTTTCTCCCTGGACCTCATCGAGCGCAACTTCAGCAACTACTCGGCCTGGCACTACCGCTCCAAGCTCCTGCCTCTTGTACACGCGCCGCCACCCGACTCCTGCTACCCTATTCACGAGAATACATTTCACAAGGTTCACATTTTTAATTATACCGTATGCAGAATGACATTTTTGCAGCTATCTGCTCATGCTGCTCATTTATGATACACTAATTAGCCATTTCTGTGCTGCTGCACTGTGCAATAGCGGGGAAACCTCCCAATCCTGTAAATGTCGTGCACCTCATTTCGCGTTATTCTGCTTACAGCTTCCTACAGTAGCTCGATGTACGTAAAGATTTAAGCGATTTGACACGTTCGTCAGCAAGCTAATGAAGCAAAAATGGCATAAACAACCAGACATAAACGTCAGTACGTACTGAGGCGACAGTGACATCTATAAACAACCAGACAACTGTCAGTAATGATGCGATAAAGACTTAAGCCAACAGACGCAATTGTCATTAAATAATCAGGCGGAGATTAACTTCAGCAAAACTTTATCAACAGTTGAGGCATTCAGAATTGTGATGCAAGCAAAAAATGACCGCTATGTTGATGCTTGAAGCCAGCTGTGTGCGTTTAAAGGAATGTTCGACGTTCAAAATTTAAACAATAGATTCTTTTCATGAATCATACGAGTTCCAGCTTAGTACGCATATTACTTAAAATTATTAATTTTAGTATTTAAAAAATTTGAATTGCAGAATGACAAGTTTGATTTATCATACCTGTAATGTGCGTAACATAAAGATGAATTAGATTCATTCAAATTTGATGAATTGGAATGATAATTAGGTAAGATTCAAATGTTTCATCTACAACAACTTGAAATAAATCCTGTTTGGTCACACCTCCTTGCTTGGGCATCAATGTAACGTCTCGTGGCCAGGAGCTGGAGCGCGTCGTGAACGCCGTTTTCACCGACCCTGGCGATCAAAGTCCCTGGTTCTTCTTGCGATGGCTGCTGCAGAAGCAAGCGTCGAAACCGCAGTAAGCTATTTTGCCTATCTTGTGCAGTGTAATATCTCCTCTACTATAATCTCGATTTAAAACTACAAATGATATTATTTCATCAACTTGTTTTTGAAGATGTATGTAGCAATTCAATTGTGAAGCACATTTCCGTAGCTGTGCCACACGGATTTTGTTAAGTTCACAGCCCGCTTGATATTTCAACGATTTTCCTCCATTAATTGAGTTTTAAAACCCAATTGCCTTCTTTAGAGAAGCGTGATTACATTTTACATTTTAGCGTGAGACAAAACGTTGTCAATCTTCGAAAAATGTATGTTTATAGATAAAGTGCCAATTTAATTCAAACTTGTCATAGAATTCTTACTTTTTAGATAAGTGAAAAAATAGCTAGTTGAGGTTTATTTTTGAAATAAATGTTTTCCTACTAAACACCCTCACGTATAGTCACCCTGATAAATAATGATGCGATTTTAGTTTTTAAAGGTATTGTAGGCGCAGGCCGCAGTTCCTTCCAGTAAATAATCCAGGCTGATCAAGTCTTGAGGTAGTGCTGCAGTGAGCTTATAAAATGAACTCTCTTCTAGTGCGCGATGACCACATCTGCTCTAACGTGAATATCTGTAATAAGCTATAACATTTTCCAGATTTTTTTTGTTGTGTGAATGTTTCTATACTTGTCATGTCAATTTATACTGGCTTTGTGAATTCAGAATTGTTTTGACAGATGCTCCTTGCTCATTGATTACTGCAAACTCCACTCTCCTTTTTCGATTGGTGATCTGAGTTGGATTTGGCTGACTTTCCTGCTCTACTCGCTCCTGTGTAAACTTTTTGGCTCAAATTCTTACTAATATTCTTCAAAATCGTCAAATTTAGTGCTAGCTTCTCGCCAGTTTTAAAAATTGTGCCTTATAGTTGAAAGTTCGCCTCAACATCTATTACAACTCTAGTGATTGTAAGACGGTGAATGCCTCGCCTTGTAATTTGAAATGGAATTTACTCATCATTGTAATGTGTCTCACTTTTTCAGATTAGTTCATATGACGGTTAGCCGGAAGGAAGATGGTTCAGCAGAAGTAGTTAGCAGTTTCTCTAGAGTAGTTGATGAGGCAGCAGTGAGCGCCATGTCTCCTCTACACCTCGCCACCCACGTCACCTGGACCAGCGCGTCAGGGCGGCCGCTCGACTCGGTTTGGGTGAGACTTGATGGCCGTGAGCTGCGTTATGTACTGGCAGCCTACAGGTATTTTACGTTCAAACAGCGTTTATTAAATGCCTTTCAACTAAATCTCCTGGTAATCAAAGTGGATTTCAAAGTCATTTGCCTGGAGGTTGGGCAGTGATGCCCGATGTAGTTGAGACGCTATTCGGTTACTTTATAAATGCTGTTTTTTTTCAGCCTGTTTTTGGTATATGTGTGGCACAAGCTATTCTACGAGTTAGTTGACGAAATTCTTTGATATTTAGCTATACAAATGGATTTAGTATTTTTGAATTGAGCCTATAAATTTTTTAATTCGAGTACTTAACTATATTAGGTCAAAAGATGCGTGATTTCCACCGAAATTCACAACTTCCGCAAGTTTGGAATTTGCAACTCCTCAAATGAGAATGGGCGTGAAGAACCGTGTATTTTCGGGACTTGCTAAAACACCCATTATTTGTCAAAATGTTGCTATGATTTGTGTTGTGCCACTTGTAAATTTTTTTTTTTTTGTTCGATACACTAATTAGCCTGAACCTGCTGATCCGTGAAACGAAACTTGTATTAAAAGTTGATAAATTAGAACCTTTATTATCGGTTCCAGGGAATGTAGTTGGCAGAACGTTGTATTGAAAACGTAACTTCAAAAGGCTTCATGTAAAACGATTCTGCATTCAAGAGTTCATTCAGTCATATTTTTTAAGTAACATTGCTCAGAGCATTCGAGTTGTTCGTTGACACTCTCGTGTGCACCTCCGATGGAAAAATAAAAAGTGCGTTCTTAGTACGATGGATGTAAAATATTAGGCTGAAGAACATAGTAGAGCATATATGACAGACAGAACCTGCCTATTATGCTAGAATTTGTATTTTTTGGATGACTCGAAAATAAACTCATTTTATGAGTAAAGTAGATGATTTTTTCTGGTCACTGAAAACATTGGCGTCAATATTATTCTTGATTTTTGTTCAACCTAACGTTTGACTATCAAATATTGAACATAATGACAAATTTATCAATCGGGAAAATCGAATAAGGAAGTAAGACGTGATTAGCCACATTCTAATCAGGGCTTACGAACAGCTGCTACAACAGTGCCCTGATACCATAATTACGAGCACCTGCTACAACACTAGTGCCCTGATACCATAATTACGAGCACCTGCTACAACACTAGTGCCCTGATACATGCCCTGATACCATGATTACGAGCACCTGCTACAACACTAGTGCCCTGATACCATGATTACGAGCAGCTGCTACAACACTAGTGCCTGGAGCCATACTTTCAAAACTCGCTAAGTGAACGTAAGTACTTACACTCTATTTTCTTGTCTATGATTGGTGGATTTTGCTCGAAAGGCCGTCAATTATTGGCTGATGAACTTGCGATCTCTTAACTTTTTTTGAAAGTATAGGCCCTGATAATTACGAGCAGCTGCTACAACACGTCTTTTATTTTCGTCAGTTATGTGAGGTGGCGGGCGACGCGGCAGGCGATGTGGTGGTGGCGGGCGGTGAGCGCGTGCCGCTGAGCGCCGTGGACGTGTCGCTGCGCGTGACGGGCGCCGCGGTCGCCTGCCCTGCCGCCGCCCGCGCTGTGCTGCACACGCTCCTGCACGACTGCCGTCTCCTGCACCAGCTCGATGCTGACAACAAGTGTGAGATTATCTTGCCTTGTCAGAGCTACTACATTATCTTTACTTGTCAGAGCTACTACATTATCTTTACTTGTCATAGCGGCTACATTATTTTTACTTGTTATAGCTGCTACATTATCTTTACTTGTCATAGCTGCTACATTATCTTTACTTGTCATAGCTGCTACATTATCTTTACTTGTCATAGCTNTAATATGAATGCCTTGCCTTGTGATGTCTGCTAATATGAATGCCTTGCCTTGTGATGTCTGCTAATATGAATGCCTTGCCTTGTGATGTCTGCTAATATGAATGCCTTGCCTTGTGATGTCTGCTAATATGAATGCCTTGCCTTGTGATGTCTGCTAATATGAATGCCTTGCCTTGTGATGTCTGCTAATATGAATGCCTTGCCTTGTGATGTCTGCTAATATGAATGCCTTGCCTTGTGATGTCTGCTAATATGAATGCCTTGCCTTGTGATGTCTGCTAATATGAATGCCTTGCCTTGTGATGTCTGCTAATATGAATGCCTTGCCTTGTGATGTCTGCTAATATGAATGCCTTGCCTTGTGATGTCTGCTAATATGAATGCCTTGCCTTGTGATGTCTGCTAATATGAATGCCTTGCCTTGTGATGTCTGCTAATATGAATGCCTTGCCTTGTGATGTCTGCTAATATGAATGCCTTGCCTTGTGATGTCTGCTAATATGAATGCCTTGCCTTGTGATGTCTGCTAATATGAATGCCTTGCCTTGTGATGTCTGCTAATATGAATGCCTTGCCTTGTGATGTCTGCTAATATGAATGCCTTGCCTTGTGATGTCTGCTAATATGAATGCCTTGCCTTGTGATGTCTGCTAATATGAATGCCTTGCCTTGTGATGTCTGCTAATATGAATGCCTTGCCTTGTGATGTCTGCTAATATGAATGCCTTGCCTTGTGATGTCTGCTAATATGAATGCCTTGCCTTGTGATGTCTGCTAATATGAATGCCTTGCCTTGTGATGTCTGCTAATATGAATGCCTTGCCTTGTGATGTCTGCTAATATGAATGCCTTGCCTTGTGATGTCTGCTAATATGAATGCCTTGCCTTGTGATGTCTGCTAATATGAATGCCTTGCCTTGTGATGTCTGCTAATATGAATGCCTTGCCTTGTGATGTCTGCTAATATGAATGCCTTGCCTTGTGATGTCTGCTAATATGAATGCCTTGCCTTGTGATGTCTGCTAATATGAATGCCTTGCCTTGTGATGTCTGCTAATATGAATGCCTTGCCTTGTGATGTCTGCTAATATGAATGCCTTGCCTTGTGATGTCTGCTAATATGAATGCCTTGCCTTGTGATGTCTTATAATGGAGCGGTTTTGCTCAGCTTTCTACCAGAACTATCAATTTAACAAAGAATAAGACTACTACGTTCAAGATGGTATGTACAGTAGTTGTATGTGATATTATAGGGTGTATAGTCATGATGATGTAAGTTCGAGGATTCGTGGCACTAAAAGTTTCTTAGTACCCTCATAGCTTATTGTGGTTTATCTGCCTATCACAATGTTTCTTTTAATATTTGTAGCCCATCAACAATAAGAAATTGAAATGGAATCGGCTCATATGTCCTACACTTTGTATATCAAGTATTTATCGCTCATTTTCCATGTTTAACTAACCCTTTCTTGCAGGGGTGCTGATGTCGCTTGCGGAGGTTCTGTGTTTCCTTGGCAGCACAGACAACGTTACGGAAGCCTGCGACCTCCTACAGCGCCTCAGCTCTGTTGACCCCTTGCGGGCTGGCTACTACACTGACCGCCGTGAGTACACTGACTGGCTACTACAACCGCCGTGAGTACACTGACTGACTACTACACTTTTAATGATAATAGCATATATGACTAACTAAGGATTGATTTTTGCCAGCTATCAGCTCGCATTTAAATCCATACCGATCGAAAATTTTTCTTTTCAGACTTTTAATGAAATTACCGCTAATGCAGCAGTGCTTCATGAGGTGGTATTCTGCACGATTGGCTCTTTGAATTGATGAATTCTGAGGCTTGATTAAGTTCTGAAGTTTTTTAGGTGAGATCGTCAGGTCTGATGATGAACTGATCATGGCAGGGAGCTCGCTGAAGCTACAGGAGGCTGTGGCCGTTCAGATCACTGACTCGACCACAGGCCAAGAGACCAAGTTTAACGGTCGCTCCCTGGGTCTGCCTCGTCTGCTGCTGCCTCACCTGCTCGCCTGCTGTACACACGTCGACCTCGCCAACAACAACATCACTGATCTCGCCGGCGCCTGCAAGCTCGTCTCGTGCACACATCTCGTCCTTGATGGTCTGTATTCTAGTCTTCAATCCTGCGTCTTCGTTTGTTATAACAGAAAAGATTGCGGTGAAGACTGGTGAACTGAATAAAAACTTCTTCAGAATGACGATTGTTCATACTTTTTTTTGGTAATGTTTGCAAGCCTTTTACCTTTGAAGCATCAAACAGCAGTTAACAACTGAAGGCAGATAGGGAGAGAAAATTTCCGGGAAAAAAATGAAGTATTTATTGATAGGCTATGACATAAATACCGTACAGTTCCTTCGGGATGGGCTCATCTGATGATAGTTTTCATCTGCCCGAGGATAAGTTCGTTTGACGAACTATAATATTTGTCATTCTACACCGTCTTACATTCCTAATATTGGTCATTCCATACCTTTATTTCAGCCGTCTAGCTCTAATAGTTGCCGATTTAGACTTACCTTGTCTGAAGGGTAGTGTATGTAAACTCAAACAAAATGCCATTTATGGGGCCTCATGAAAGTAAGAATGATATATACGAATTGCTTGAAAGATGAGATCCTGCAATGATAATTCCAGCAACTTTTAACCAATTTCTATTATCTTTTGCGATGTTTATGTCTGCAGGAACGCTGCATGCTCACGGCCTGATTCTCTATTGTCAAAAATTCTTTTCATATGAAATATATGCATTGGAAAACGATAATGTCTGTTAGGACCAGTTACTTCTTGATATGCAGCCTTCAAGCTGGATATTAATTAATATGAATGATATATTTTGTTGTGTGCAGGCAATCCTCTTACGTGTCTGCAGCCGCTGTCACGCCTGCGTCGTCTGCGCGAGGTGTCGCTGGCGTCGTGTGGGCTGCAGAGCGGCGCGCAGCTCGCACCCTTATCTGCACTCAGCAGCTTACGCAGCCTCGTTTTATTGAACAACGAATTCCCGCCTAGCGAAATTCCTGTGATTAGAAACTCATTCCAAGACGTTGTTAGCCTTAAGGTATAAGGTTTTCTTTTTATAAGAGGTTTGAATTGCCGTCATTTTTACTTTGCGAAGTTTACTGTTTATTCAAGAAGTCATTTTGAACTTGAACTAAGTGAAACAGAATTATTAAAAGTACCGGTATCCTATTGAAAATGACAGAAAAATGGCTGCGCCAGCCATCCAGTCGATATAAAAAATTTCAAGTCCAAGTGTTATAAAACTGTTAAATATTAAATACAAATAAATTCTTTATTACTCAAGTAGCTATTTGTGTTATCTTTATTTAACAGAAGTTATTACTTTTTATGAAGACAACAATTTTGCTTATTTTTCGTGCAATTGTCTTTACTTTCTACTACGTGAATTTTTCAAGTGTCCTTTTTACTCTCATTCCTTTCCGGCATATATATACAGATTATTTTCATCATTTGGAGAGTAAATTTAGATGTGCCAGAATGCGTTCACCTTTTATATATTGTAATATGTTCGAAATAAATATTAGATGGATTGAGATTTTTGTGACGAAGATTGAAGGTAACCCGATTGATGTGCCTAGTCTAACTGTTAATGCATCTGGAATGTCAACTCTATTAACTAGACTTGTTTCACTTAAATTCATTGCTATTTCACTCGACCATTTTCACTTAAATTCATTGCTATTTGGAATATCTTACCTCTGAATTATCCTCCTTCTCTTACGAGCTCTTCGCGAGTTACACACACTTCTAAATATTCGTTAGTAATACAACTGATTCTTCAAGATATTTTTTTTAACTAAAATAGCAAAGAACTATGTCGATATTAACTCGAAATACATATTTCTCTATTGTAGTTGAATGGAATAAGACAGGATATCTGTCAGTAACATCGGTTGTTGATCGTCATTCCCTTACTGTGTGCATAGAAGTTTGAGAACCGATTTTTTTGTAGAATTTGGTTTCAGTTCGTACGTCTGTGTAAACCAAATCTCGCATTGAGACCATCGAAAACGATTAAGCCAGTTTTGTGCGTTCGTAATTGTATACATTTCATTTAATTATTTATCGCTGTGATGATATGATCGAATTTATGGTCCAAAATCCAGACGCAGGATTAAAATTTAAATCGAGACCAATTGGCTCATCTGTCCAACTATCACTAGTTTCGACGCTTGCATTAAGCGGCGAATGGCGAATGAAAATATCGAGGTTGATTTTCTTCAATGTCAGTTGAAGGTATTGTGATTTGCATTTCACCGATTACCTCTCCGTTTAATGTAGGTTATAACATTGAAACTTATTATATTAATCCCTGGAATACCGCATTGAAATAATCTTTGCAGACAATATTCATAGTGAAAATCACATTGTAATACATTCTTCGGGACTTTTCTGACACAACCTTGCATTTTTCTGTCAATGGGAAACACTTCTGTATTCATGTAGAACCTTTGAGCACAGTAACGGCTAGATCGTATTAATGCTTACGAAGACAGAACACTTTCCAGCCATTGAAAAGAATTTGATTGCTTCTGACTCCTATCATGTTGGTATAGCAGTGGGCAACACATTTATGGACGCTCGGCCTCCACTATGAGCACTGATCGCGTCGCGAACATGTGCAAATAAGCTGCAGCTGGTCCTTATAAGGGCCAACAGATGTCCAAATACACACGTCATAGTGTCAATCTGAAAATCGTGATAGGAAGAGGCTGCTTCTCACGTACATGATCTAAACCCATTTTCTGTCTTGGTGAATGTATTGAACAGGATTCATATACATTCTGGACAACTTGGTAGCCATTTCGCTGCTGGCTTTATTGCGAAATGTCGTAGTGCGCAATGTTTAGTGAACAAAATGTTTAAATTCAGTACGAATTTCTATTTCGGGCATACTCCAACCACATCTTAGAATTGTTTTTTACTTCCTTACGTAAATGAATATATGTCATGCGTTTGAAGTGTGGGGGCGTATAAATTGCCAAGCACCACCTTCTGATTGGTTATATACAAATTTTTGTTCTTCGCTTCAATTATGTTTCATCAAAAATGATAGGCTCTTATAAGGATTTAAATAAAACCTTACATAAGCCAAACGTACAGCATGATACTGGGAACTTCTAGTAGATTACATCCAGATACAAGATTTATCATCTTATAGGTGAAGCTTTATTCCTCGAAATCTGCGCGAAACGAAGAATTCGTGTACCGCTTATTATATTCAGCGTACAAAGCCAGCTACTACAACCTTAGCATCAAAGGTATGGTAAATTAACGAGGAGTCACTACAATTCTGGCTTATGTTATAGTATAAGCTCGCCATCGCAGCAGCCATTTGTAAATCGCCTAGATCACAAGACAGTTCATACTTGTCCAATATCTTTTCTAGACACACCAACAGCCTCTTGGAAGGAAACAAAGTACTCTTATTCTTCGCAAGTCATCTCACGGCCGTCCTGGCATTTCTTTCTGCTCGAGCGGCAGCCTAATTGTATATATGCTCGTTGAAATTCACTTGTGGTGTCAATTAACAATTCCATTTTCAGTACAGCACATAGAGCTGTGTTTCTATCCTGGCGAAGCTGATTTATGACTCAATGTAGTTAAATGAAGATAATAGATAATTAATAACACTCAGTTATGATTGAAGTATGACGCCAACGTACATAAGTTTTTGTGCGGATATTTAACCGTTGTAACAGTTGGCTAAAATAATTAATACAGCGTTTCAGGTTCACGTCGTGTATTCAATTTTCTATAAGTTACATTAGTTTTGAATGATTTATTACAGTTGTTCGAAGTATTAACTGAAACGAAAAAAAATAGACATTCAACTCATTAATGAGTAGAAATGCGCAGCGGCATAGTCAAAATTTATTCTATGCTGTAGGTCATTCATTCGCATTAGAAGTAATTTGTATTTTCCTGGGAGTTGCGAATAAATAAAAAAATGAATCATGATTGAATAGGGATTTAGCTACATTCTCTATCGCACAATCAAAATGTGAATATATTTGGAACTGTTCAATTGAATATGAAGAGAGGCAATGGCATGAAAGAATGGATTGACTTGTTCATGTCAGGCAAATACGAGAAATACATGCATCCTAACATTCAAAAATCTATTTGCGACGAATTTTTCCATTTTTTCATGAAAACCCTAGAGAGTTCTTGAACATTAGCATCGTCTACGTAGAGCAGTAGGAAGTGAGTAATCTGAATTCAGGTCCAAAAGAATTTTATTTAATATCAAATTGATTGAATGGATGGCAGTCATCAAGAGGAATCGTTGTATACATTGTTTAAACGCCCAATTAGAGAATTTCGCCCGTGCTCATTTTTAAAGCCTGCCAATCTTGATCAAGCTTCCATGAAGCGAGGGAGGCACTTGGCAACAGCGCACTGAGCTTCATGTGTCTCGCAAGAGATACGATACCTGCAGTCAGCGCTCAGCTGTGTTGTTATTCAGTCAGAACTTGGAACCAGTTCAGTGTGGTAGTGCAAGTAAGCTGTCCTAAAAACTTCAAGATGTCAGAAGCACACTTAGATGAGTATGATCACTACAATTTTGATGAAAAAGTCAGCCATTCGCGTGGTTCTGGCAAGCATAGATCGAAACAAGAAGCAGAACAGAATAAAAATCTCTCTAAAGAAGGACCAGGACATACACGCAAGGTCGTCAGCAACATGCAGAATAACGAAGCGAACAACAAAGCTGAGAGAGCGAGTGCTTTAAAGCACTGACAAGCCCACATCTACCTATGTGATACAGTAAGTTTACAGAAATTTATTCCATATTGGTGACATTTCGCGGTGCATTTATCATGTTAATAATTTTTTCATATTTAATTTGGTTACAACTGTACGAAAGTCGGAACACGACTCTAGTAGGTATATGTTTTAGTCAGTTTGACGAATCGACGTTTCAATCGTCGACTCGTCGTCCTTCATAATTTTGCATTCAGAATAAGTTGATTATCTGCAACGTACGCTGAATTTCATGCTATTTAAAGAGCGTCTTTATTGATTAGCCTTTCAAACGATCGCAATAAAGAGAAGGAATCACAATCAGGCTCTTAGCCTCTTGTGAATTTTATAGTAGTAGTAGTTGTAGCTTGTAGGTAGATGGATACATGGTTAAATTAATATATTTTATTAATTCAACCATGGATGAATGAGCTACTACGCAGTTGATCTGCCTGCTAGTGCATAGCAAACATTTTGCCGGGATTCCTGCAACTTTCACATCGGAATTATGTATGTATAAGTATTCATTCAAAATTTGTATTGTTGGATCATCGAACAGAATAGTAAATCAATCCAGTTCATCGAGCGATATTATTGAACACATTGGTGTTGACACGAGGAAAGCCGTGGTTTGACGATTGTTGCACAGAAAACCTGATGCAACCCGCAGGCTCGCAGCACTGACTGACTAACCGCTAACGTAGTTTACGTAAGTTGTACTCGCGACTCCGTGAAATCTCGAAACCAAATTCGCCATAAGATAAATAATATGTATGAGACTTGAACGCTCACATAAGATGCTAAACTCACAGTAAATTGGTGTCCGTGCTCACCTAATTTCCTATAAATTCATTTAGATTCATATTATATCGAACAAATAGATTCTAGATGCATTTATGACGACGCTTCAGAGGTGTGGTGGTGTTCAAATGCCGAGTTTGTGAGGCTGCCATATGGCCTCGGTGATTAAATATTTGTGTTAAACCTCAATTTGTAGGACCACTTTAATGAAACTAAGTTTAATAGTGTGTGAATAGTAGAGTCATAAAAATTCAAATCAAAATAAATCAATTAAAGTTGTAAATTGTATTACTAATACCAAGTCTCAACCTAACGCAATCTAATGAACCACACGTATCTTGTCAGCAAAATTTTAATCTGTAGAAGTCCCAGACTATTTTGATTCTGTCGTGTATAGTTGGTTTAGAGTTCGAATTTGGGATGAAACATAGCTCATGGTAGTGTTCTTCTTTATGAAGGTGAAATACAATAATGGGTTGGCGAAAAGATTACAATTTTCATAGATGATTTGATTAGTATTTCTATGAGAACGGATTGTTTGTCATAACCTAGTTATTGGGCTGGCTACATTATATACTGGGTTAAGATAATCTGGCGAATAAATGAATGCTTGTTGAACTGGCGATTTCATGTATTAACTGGCATGACCCGTGGTACTACGATAGATTTGGCTTGTCCTGGTTTTCTAGTATAGTGACGAGCGCATGTGTTAGCATGGTCCAGTGGTGCAAGTGTTGAAAACTGCGCAGTTGTGAGCTGGTGTGAGAGTGGCAGCTGTGAGCGAGGTCACGACGATTGCTCCCTTATCTTTCCTTGGTTACTATTGCGCCAGTGCCGACTACTTTAATGTTCATCCTATGAATATCAAGTGGAAAATACGACGTTTCCTCGGGTAAATTGAGCCCGAAAATTATTTGTAGATAGTTCGGTAGTGAAATAAACCTTTGATTTCTTTTCGTTTTGCATTGTAAATTAAAGTAGTAGTTAGGTTAATTCAAGCAGATTACATCTGCTGACTTGATTATTTTGCGCTGATGCTTAGGAAAATTTGGTATTGGAGTAAAAAATATAATCCGCAAAAAATATTTTAAAATGCTAGTGCGTGTGCGTGATAGTGCTAGTGTACAATTGTCCCAAACAGTTTTTACCCATTGAATGTATTAGCTATTTTTATGCAGAATTCGTTCATTTTTATGCTGACGCATCAAGTCTATGAATAACTACGGTAGGTACGTTTAAAAACGGTTCCAAAGCTATGCGAAAAAAAAAAATAATTTTCTCAAAATATATGGGAAGAAATTATGAAAATTAGAAGAACCTAGGTGGAAATGGTTATAAGATCAGGATAGGTTTTTCTCCATTTGGTATGTTTCTGTAATATTTTTACTTTAAAAAGTACAGTAATATGAGAATACATTGTTTTTTTTTTTTTGTCATTTAGGGCCTTTCTGGTGTAGGTACTTCTGGTGTAGTTGTGTACTCACTTATATTTTTATGAAGTAAAAATATGCCAAATGGGACAAGACTCACTGAGCCGAGAAGGCGCAGATTTTCGGCTTTGTGAAATGCAGTAGAAGCCAACGGGACATCGCAATGGGAATAAAACGCTCAAAACCCATTGCACAATCATTTTGCTAATCCGGACGGCTACGGGTGAAAAAAGCACACTGAACCAACCCCAAAATTAACCGACAGGGATCTTAGGAGACTGTTTTCTGAGGCCTCTAAAACTTGCGCTACCTCTACTTCTATAAAATTGGCCACTGGAGTTGATGTGACAACACGACGCATCCGTTAGACCTTGCATGACTCGAAGAAATTCATATACATGACGAGAAAAAATGCCCCTGTGCTCGAACAAAAGCATATTATCAACCGACAAAAATTTGCTTATTGGTAAGGGATGGCACAAGATTATCTTCAGTGATGAAAAAAGTTCAATCTCTATGGTCCAGATAGATGGTAATTCTATTGGCACCACAGAACAGTGAGCCTGAATTTTTTACCAAGCGGCAATCTTGTGGCGGTTCGGTCATGGTTAGGAGGGCGTGGCTTACAAGACAAGATTCCGGAGACAAGATTCCGTGAGTTGGACGATTGACGCCTCAAAAGACGAGACGAGTCGTCGAGACGCAGAGTTTCGCTAGACACAAAATCAACATGGTTCGCATGCCTTTTGGAGCCTATTTTTTCTCGTCGCCACGCCGTCTCTTATTCTGTTGGCAACATATTCAACCCTGAGGGCAGTAAACCGAAAATGCCGACCCACTTGGTTTGCATGATGTCAACTTACATCGTGAACAAGCTAATGAGATCAACCTCTATTTTAGAAGCTTTATATGTCTAATTGCTCATGGACTGGGGTCATTTAACGTATAGGAATGGCTGCGAACTTGCTTCCATGCTTTTAATATTTCATTTCCTAATCTTTTACACAATAACCACGGCAATTGGCGCGGTCTTCGTAATTATGTGATTCCATTAAGAGTGTCCAGCCGTACTCAACATGTGGTTAAACATTAACGTTCATCTGATAACTAGATTAATTTAAATGGAATTTTTGTTAAGTGTCGCATTCAAAAAGAACTTCATGGTTTTTGGTTTCTCTTAGTTACGTTTACGTTCGGAACATATATTTTCACACGCATTTTGTCTGGATTAAACTCTCATACAGCATTTAAAGAAATGAATATCATTAGAGGTAAAGGTTTTTTTGTTTCAGATGCTGGTAACATGGAAGTGAGGCTCCAGCCGACGTCCAATCAACCCTTCAGTTTGGCCAGGAGAGCTGAATTTATCTTCATCTTGACTGAAGATGTTGCATGTGGAGGAGAAGCTTCATTTAAAAAATATCACTTCTCAAATCATCCACTTTTTAAATTGAGTTACAGATTTTAATCCCGAGCAGCAGGCTACATTAAATTTCATGAAATATTAGTTATTACGTCACTTTTGTTTTCTTGCTATTGAGTTTAAAATTAGTGGTCAGTTCGAATAAGTTTTACTGGCAATAAATACGTTGAAATTTTACGTCGGTAAAAAATATTCAATTTTTCATTATTTTGGTAAATGTCGTGGTGTGCTGTGTTGTTATATAACTGGATAGTAGATTTTGTACTGCCTTGCAATGAATCCTTTCTCCTTATTTTGGTCATAACTCGTTAGAATTTGAACCTATGAGTTTAATAAACTTTGCTTGAAGACTTGTGTTATTGCCCTCTTAAACTTCTCTCTTGGCTCTCGCTAAACCCTCTGGCCACCTGACATGAGTAGCCGGAGCAATAATGTCACAAGCCTACTTCCCAAAAATGATGCGTTCTATTGAGCGCAAAATGACGCACTGATGGTTGCCGCCGCGTACAACTAAAATGTTCTCTGTTGCGTACAAACGTCCTCAGGTTGCTACACTCAATAGTTTACGTATAATTTATGTTGAAAGTTACTTTAAAATGTTCTCTGTTGCGTACAAACGTCCTCAGGTTGCTACACTGAATAGTTTTGCGTAAAATGTAAGTTGGAAGTTATGTTCTTGGAGAGTGACATAGTACGGCGGTAGAGGGTTAAAATAAATATTCAAGTTTACAGTCGACATAATGGTGTTAGACGATTTTAAAGATTTACCTGCTCTAACCTGGTGGATACAGCTCAGGCTCGTATCCAAATTACTTTCCTGCGTAACGTAAAATGTTTCCCACACTTATTTTGCGACGGAACTCTTCACAGAATTTCGCTGAAACAATAAAGCGCGCCACACACTTTCGAGTCTTATCTGGCTCGCATCCAAAGCTACCGAATCCGCCAGTGAATGTGAATGTGATCTAACGAGCCCATACACCATAGAGTCCGACTCGCGAGTCTAACTCGTCTGACCGGAAATGTGGCGCCAAACGAGCCGAGGTGGGCAAAAACATGCGAGCCGTGCCAGGGCTTCCACTGCTTGCTGTGGGGCTCGGCTCGAGTTCAGTTGCTATGCAGACGTGCGAATTCGTGTGCGATTTTCTGCCATTCCTCGCACGATGATGGAAACTGAAACGAAACACAATAGAATTTAGATTATTTTAAAAGTATTACTTGGAGTGCATAGTGCATTCTTCAACAGTATTGCAGTAGCGAATATAACAATACCTATCTATTTATATTTTCATTTATTCTACAGGCCGAGCCAAACGAAGATGGGAACAACGCCGACAATGAAGAATTATTGTGCAGTGAATCACAGACTTCGTCCACAAAGCGGAAAAGAATTTCACCAAAGCGAACAAAAAATTTTAGTGCTGAAGAGGAAGTGCGCCAACGCAAAGCACTTCTAGAAAAGGCTTCTGCTGTACTAAATAGACCGGAGGATGAATACGATGACCTAACCAAGACGTATGCAGCTAAATTTCGCCGCATGCCTGTTTCTCAAAGAGATATTGCTGACAAGTTGATTAATGACGTCCTCTTAAAAGGGTTACAGAACACTTTGACAAATGACCATTTAATTTCTCACTGTAGTTATTCAGCTGTTCCTTGTCATGAGACAGATGCAGCGTCTTCTTATGTAACTACTATAACAAATTATTCAACCTCCATCTCAAAATCAAATGACGAAGAGGCCGAGAACACGTTCTACTTTGATGATAATAATATTCAGAAATTCAAACTGATGTGCGTGTATACATTTTTGTACAATTTAACTAATTTGTTTAACACAAATTTCATCTACAATAAATAATGGAATAAAAAGGAAATAAACGCAGTTCATCGTTATGCCGTTTTCTTACCTTTAAGTATTCTCCTTTCAAGCTGTTGTAGATAGCCTGGCAGGTCTCTGGAATTATTCTGCCTAATGCTTGAGGTGATATTATGGTGGAGAACTTTAGGTCTTCAAACGACCGTGCGGTGGCTAAAAAGCGTAGAGTAGCAATTAGCCGTTCCTCTGCTGCTATAGCTTTCCGAAGTACAGTGTCTCGTTTTGCTATGAAGGGTTTGACTTTGTCCAAAAGGACATTGAAGTTTTCTGCAGACATCCTTAAATAGTTTCGATAGTCGTTTCGACTATCGTCGCGAATGAAATTTAGCAAATTTATATGGCTGAATCTTTGTCGATTGACAAGCCATCCTTTCGACCATATAGATCGTTTTCTCCGTTGCTTTCTCACTCCTCCGAGCTCACTCAAAATGATGGCAGCAGCAGCAACTTACCTCCGATGACTCATCTTCACGACTTGGCGCTGCGAGCAAAGTGCGTAGGTGTATGGAGAAATCTCGCCAGATCAGATCCGAGAGTCGGAATCAGCTAGCCGGACTCGCGAGTCAGATACGCTAGTGTATGGGGCGCTGACCGAGCCGGGCCTGCCACAGCTCGCTGTGCTGCTCGGCTCGGACCAGACTCGTCTGTTTAGTTGGTTCGCGGACGGCAAGCTGATCGGGTGTGTACAGTTATGGCTGACTCGAAGTCATTTATGAGCCCCGATTTCCTGACAAAATTTATATACGAGTATCGGGATTTGCCGTGTTTGTGGAAGGTTCGTAGTGGGGAATATTCCAACAAATTACAGCGGCGTGGAGCTTGGGAGCATCTTGTTCGAATAACAAGAGAAAAAATACCGAATGCTGACCTGAACTTTGTAAAAAAGAAGGTGGATAGCATTCGAGCGTCATTCAGAAAGGAACTGAGGAAAATTCGCGACAACACGAGGAGTGGTGCGTCTGCAGATGGTATGTACACTCCAACTCTATGGTACTTCGAACTCCTTAAATTCACCGCAGAGCATGAGCAGCCTGCACACACAAAGAGCATTTTAGACGAGAACAAAGAGATTGCTCTCGACAAAACTTTTGAAGAAAAATTCTGTATGGTTGAGGTAAGTTTGTAACGACGAAAAATTTCTAAAATCCTAATAATACATAGATAATATGTCTATATATCTATATTGGTATGTCACTTGGAAACCGATTGTTTGTTAGTACCGTACATATGCAAGAGCGTATCCATGATATTTAACGACTATCGTATCGTTATTTTACCTGGCTGGACCGAATATTGTATCACTAGTGGGAAAATAGTTAGGGCCTTGCACGAGAAAGGGATTGGACCAAATACTACATTCAAATTTAATTGTTACATTCAAATTTAATTTGATAGACGCCATAAATTGTATTCATTTTTTTACTGAGTCAAACGCGAGTCTTCGATGTAATGGAAGTTGGAAAGAGTCTTCAATTATTAAGTACAGATTAATTTTATGTTTCTTAACGTGACATGAGATTCCAAAATTTCAGGGAAGCTACAATTTATTTATATACGGACATAAGTTTTCAACTGGTTAGTTTTTGTTAACAAAATACGACATAAATCATGAGTGCAATTAATGGAAATTTATTTAGTAATTATTTTTTTTAGAGAGCACCTTTTCTTATCCGTTGGAATATTCCACATGAACTCGAAGTTTCTGAAACGATCGGTTGCTAACTAGTAGCTACGAGCTTCGAAGCCAATGAAACACTCCTGTGTGCGTTCACCTGCTTTCATGAAATGTCCCCCGCAATCATCTGCTGCCACACTGGCGCCGTCTATTTCTTCCTTCCCAGCACTGGAGTGAAGGCGTCTCATTCGCTCTCTTGTTTAAAAGCGGAATTCTGGTAGAACGCAAGCCAGTACAATAACGTCTGCTTTTAAAGGAAGGAGATTGATGGTTGTATGATGAACGCAAAAATTTTGATGCTAACACAGCAGAAGCGATTTTCCACACCTTATTGTGCAAGAAAAAGGGAGCAGATTACATTGAAAAAAAGCATAAGGGTTCAAGTCACCACGTTTCATTTTCTGTCAACTTTAGGTTCACCTATCACCCTCATCCCCCTTATCCAACATTCGTCCATTAAAAGCCGACATCTACCGTTGTGAAATTTTCAAGGACTGGCAGCTGTGTTACTGAAAATTAAAAATAAAAAACTAGTACTAGCAAGCGAATTGCTAGTACTAGTTTTTATATTTTTAATTCTATAGGTTAGGCACTTCTTATGCTGGTTTCACAACGGCAATTTCCTATAAACAGGTTACTCACGAATTGGAAAAGTGCCACAATTATTAAAGTTATAGTGCAATTTTTGTCATTCATCAGAAAATGATGAAAACTGAAACCTAGCCCAATTGAATTAATATTGTATAATTTAAATGATTTCAGATGCAGGCCGAACCAAACGAAGATGTAAACAACGTCCAAAACGAATTGACGTTGAACACAGAATCTCACTCTTCATCCCTAAAAAGAAGGAAAATTTCGAAAAAACGAGCAAGAATAGAAGCTGAAGAAGGACTGCGCCAACGGAAAGAAATTCTAGGAAAGGCTTCCGCTGTACTGAACAAACCGGAGGATGAATACGATGACTTGGGCAAAACGTATGCAGCGAAATTGCGCCGCATGCCTGCTGCTCAAAGAGACATTGCTGACAAGTTGATTGTCGACGTACTTTACAAAGGGCTGCAGAACACTTTAACAACTTCCTATTTCATATCTGAATTTGGTTTTCCAATGGGCTCCTGCCAAGGGAGAGATGTCACGTCTCTCCATACTACTAAATCAAACTGTTCAACCCCAGTCACATCCTCGTCTCCTAAAGAGTACAAATTCCAACCTGACGAGTACGTATAATTTACACCCATGGCTGCTCTTGGTACATATTTTCTTTTACAATGAACCGAACGTGTTAAATAAAATGACCTGTTCAGAATTGGAACGAAAATTTAATAAAATTTAGAATTATTTGTCATTACAGTGCATTTTTCTTACCTTCAATTATTCACCACCATGTTCAAACTCAAACAGCAGACGCGGTGTGAAGAAATATATATATATGCTCCTGGAACAAGTGACTTGACAAGTCAACCATAACTAAAGTGAACTGTAACCGTCTCCTTACAAACTTGAAAATGGCTAAGGCAGTAGACAATACTTTCCGAAATTAACTGGAACAAATAAAATCCAATCCCAACAACGTAACCGTAAAAATAATGCTGGTTTGAATTCATCTAGAACGATTTGACACATTTTAAAAGTTAAAATCGTCATTTAATTGTATAAAAATTTTGAGAGAGTAAATTGAAAAGCAATTATATAAGATTATATTAATGCATTAAGATGAATCTTCCAAAGTTTTAACCTGATCGTGATTGGGCGATCAGTACCACGAATTTCTAGGTCAGAAGACTATGGCTAATTTCCTGTAAGTGCTAAAATAAATTGATAATCAGTGATTGATTTGTGACTCTGTAACAAATACGGAGGCTCTACGTAAATACGTAATCAATATAAATAATTTCGAGCACGGATATGATTATATCAATTTAGTCAAGATAATTTCAAGATAGTTCTGAGCTACTAATTGAATAAAAAAAAAGTACCCATCTCATTACAGGTTTCTATAGTTGAACGAAAACCGTTATAAAATTAAGAAAGTATACCATTGTCACAGCCAGGCTACTCAATGAGCTACAGTATGACGAGGCTCTAGAACACTTGTCAGGAAAAACCAGTCAGAACAAAGAGCGGTGTAGGATTTCAATTTGCAGACGGCCCTGGTGTGTATAGAGCTGTAGGTAAAGTCTTCGTTATTGCCATAGCACCCACGAAAGACAGGATTTTATTGAAGGAGGTAAATTATGCGTCATTTTTTTAAATTTGGGGAAAAGAAGGGCCGTGAAATAGCCTGTAGCGTGCGTGGTAATTTTGCAGTGATTCTCTCTAGTAGAATGCTTTCAGTTTAACCAACATACAATCATAGAAAGTTATAGAGAAAAATCCTAATAATAGTAATAATACAAACTAATTTTAGTCAATCTTATTGATCTTATTAACTCAACTAATCGGGCAGCAATGGATACAAGTTAAGCTTAAGTTTGTCTATAATTTCATAATAAAAACTGTTGTCACGAGGTCACCTTGCAGGCGGCTAAGCACAAACATAGTTTTAAATGATTTTCCATGATTGACAACACATGATGAGATACAAATATTCCGAAAGGATATCAATACCTGAAAATATGGTTTTTTTTTTTCCTTTTTCACCGGCTTGAATACCTTCTCATAGTGAAACAAATAGACTCATGACTTGAAAATTTCCTTCTAAATTAATACTATAGAAAACTTAACTACATTAGTTTAGGCTATTTCTCCTGAATCTATGTTTTAAGCATCTGCGTCTCCTGAGCTTCACTCCGGCACAACGACATTCCAGCATCAATCTATGGCAATGACTTCTTAGCATCAGTTTTCAGAGTCCAATCTGTCTCCAATGTTGACTTTGGAGAACCTGTCTCCGATGTTGACTTTTCAGCATCCGTCAGCGATATTGACTTGGCAACATCTGTCTCCAATGTTGATTTTGCAGCATCTGTCTTCAATGTTGACTTCGCCGCATCTGCATTGGATGTTGACTTCACAGCGTCTGTGTCTAATGTTGACTTTACAGCGTCTGTGCCTGATGTTGACTTCACAGCATCTGTGCCTGATGTTGACTTCACAGCGTCTGTGCCTGATGTTGACTTCACAGCGTCTGTGCCTGATGTTGACTTCACAGCGTCTGTGCCTGATGTTGACTTCACAGCGTCTGAACCTGATGTTGATTTCACAGCGTCTGTGCCTGATGTTGACTTCACAGCGTCTGCACCTGATGTTGACTTCACAGCGTCTGTGTCTGATGATGACTCGTCAGCATCAGAATCTGTAGCTGTAGTGTGAACAAGAGTAGCAAAGGTTACAACTGTAGTGTGAACATGAGTAGCAAAGGTTAAAACTGTAGTGTGAACAAAAGTAGCAAAGGTTACAAATGTAGTGTGAACAAAAGTAAACAAATAAAGTTTCTGAAATTACTTACCAACTTGCCAAGGGTTTTTAGCCTTCAGAGAAGTTTAGTGAAAAATTGTCAAGTTTCCCAATTCCAGTTTGAGTAGCATCAAATTAGAAATTGTTACGATCATAAATGAACCACATCTGCTTTAAAATTTTTGTGGTCACTTAAACTCTAGGCCTCCTGCCATTTACCCATGTATTAAAGAAGACTTGATGTTGTTCCATAAGAAAGCCTTACTAAAAAATTTCGAGAATTTTAATTTTATTTTTTTTAACTTTTTCAATGTCACATTCGAAAAATTGTTTGGCCTTTTCTTAAAACTGAGAGACCCCAGTAGCCATAAACACCCCAAAAAAAACACCATACAAGTCCAGAGAACTGCAAGAGATACAGTTAACCACAAAATTAGATCAACTTTAAATAATAGCAGATGTGATATGCCCCAGAGGGGGAAAACTTCCTCCTACATTTCCTAACTCACCAGGGTCAATAGAAAAAAGCGATGATCCATCATCTTCAGAAATTGAAGATTCTTTCAGCAAACCAGACTGCTGAAAAGAAGAAATTCACAATAATTTTCAGTAACAGAATTATGTTAAGTAGCTCTAAAATATAAATAAAAAGATGTGATTATGACAACTTGACATTATGCAATGTAAAATATCTTATTTGGTACTGCGTATGTCAGACTGTCCTTTATTGCGTATTTCAGAAAGTACTTGCCAAATGTCGGTCAAGTAGAACCTCAAATATCAACAGGATTAATTTCCAATAACGGCAAATTTAACCCGCAGCTATCAGGCAATCAATAAAAAGCAGAGAACATCTTGAACCGAATTAAGCGTTACACTACTAAGAAGGGCCAAATTCTAGGATTAGTGTTTCATACATTCATGATTTATTCAGACTTCCACTTTAGTAACTTGATCAATTACAAAATATCAGCTAAATATAACACTAAAATCTATTATCAGACTTTTACATCCAGTTACATCTGATATTGATGCACTGCTCATAAATTACGCCTACCGACTTCCAAAATGCTGCTAAGCAAGCAAGATAAACAAATAAGATCCGGCAGAGCTGAAAAAATGAGCAAAAACTTTGGGATAAAGCCAAGTGAAATTTTTCATAGAGTCCTAATCCATTAATTTCTCTTTGGTGTGAAGTTCATTCTTTAACTTCAGTTTCCTCTATTAAAATGATTGCAGTGTAAACAAATTATCAAAGAATTGAATTCATTATTATGGTATGATTACTTGTAAAATGGATTGGGGTTTGGGAATTTATCCTACAAGCAAGGCTAATAGACAACAGAAGTGAAAGACGGGCTGGGAAGGAGATTATGATAAATTGTAGTTCAATCAAATGTCTACCTTAACAGGTGCTAAAAATTTGGGTTATTAATGGAATAATTATTTTTAAAACAATTTTTAGAAAAAAAATTATACAAACGAAAGTTACCTTTTGAAGATCTATCAAATAGTTGTTGGAATGAACATCAAAGTTTACATCTTTTCCAAACAATCACATGATCAAAATAATAACATAATTTAATACGTATATTTTTCAGAACGCTGGCACTACTTATTCATCAATAGTTTGAGATTAAGATACAAAAACTGGGTTGTTCTATCGAACGATATATTCTATATACAAAAACTGGGTTGTTCTATCGTACGATATATTATATATACAAAAACTGGGTTGTTCTATCGTACGATATATTATATATACAAAAACTGGGTTGTTCTATCGTACGATATATTCCCTCTCCTACCTTGAGAGGTAAGATCACCGGCACAGGCACGGGCACAGGCACCGGTACGAGCACAGGAATAGGCAAGCTGTACATCGCCACCGGTGCAGGCACATACACGGGTATAGGCACCGGCACAAATATTCTTTCTACGCGACTTGAGGATTTGTTTGTATCTGCACATAAAAACATAGCCCCGCTCAAAAACTTTTTTCAAGGAAATATAAAAATTAGACATTAATTTGACCAACGAATGGCGAATCTAACAACATGTTACCACTTAAATATATTACCTCACCATTAAAATATTTCACCATGTAGATTTTTAGGATTTTTGGCGATAACTTTTTCTATATTAAGTTTTCTATATTTAAACATTAACATAAATCTATATAATTTAGGCAAAAACTGCTCATGATCTAACTCCTAGAAGCACCCTGATGACAAAATTTTAATCGGATTCGAAAATATCTATCAAGACTCAACATGAGATAAATTATTCAAGATGCCCAGTAATTTCCATCATGCAAGTGAATTAAAAAAAAATCATACCCAATACATAATCAAAAGTACCTGGATTGGGGGTGGTACTGAAGTCGGAGGAAGCCACCACTGGTACACACATGGTGCTTTTATTGATCATCACTTTAGGTGCCATACTAGCCAAGATTCGCTCCAGGAACTGTTGGAAAGAATGTTATGTTACTCGCGACGAATTACAAGAAACAAATACAAACATTATATATATCGATCGTAGCATCGAGTTTAAACCAAACTACATTACCATGAAAACGTTTGGCCTGTGTTTGAGAAACGTGGTTCGGCCTTATCTAAGCAGGTACTGTTGTTCAACAGGCAAATTATCAATTGCAGCCAAAGACACACGAGGTCATTACAAAAATCTGAACAGAAAAGTGGATGATTTTCTATATAATGGTGAAGTTTTGACCAGATAAGCACAGATTGTTTGACGAACAATACCCGAAGCTGTAGATTTCAAGATTTTTGCATAAAAACATATTTATCTTTGTTCACCTGCTCTTGCGGAGTAGCTTCGAACTTACTGGTTCAGTGAAATTTTTATTAGCAGATTCTGCCCCTTTGGTGCGCGGCGAAGCTCCTCTGAAGGAACGCAACATGCTCACTGATGTATCATTAGACGGAGATTCTGTTGGCAAGAATGGGAAGAACATGACTGGTTCAAGCCAAACTTGTAGAATATATATCGATTAAATTGAGTTAATTAGATTAATATTAAATGGTCGAAAATTAAAAAGCTTATTACAAAAGTATTGAACAAAATTTGAAATAACACTTTGAATTGCCAAACTAAGTGTTGAATTGCCATACACATCTCGAGCTCAAAAATAACGCTTAAATTGTTATTAATGCATTGAGTGAACTGTGGTCTCAGCATTAAAAATAAAAACTCCATGGAGCCAAGTGATATTTAACTCTTAAGCCTCTTTCACACAGGGCGGCAAATACCGCCAGCGTCCTACGGTATTTACCACCAAACCTTGACGGACACACGACGTATTTTTACGCGGCGTAGAATTTGATGCCTGATGCCCGCGTGTGTGCTGCTCATAGGGGAAGCAGGAGATTTGCCGCGACAGTTTAGCTTTCAATGTCATTCAATGTAATCTTTCACACGAGGCGGTTTTTAACGCTGGAATCTATCATTCTTGCAGTACTGTTTATGCATCATCAGTTCATCTCTATGTTTATGTAACAATATTTATATTTATGTAACAATATATCTTTATGGAAATATATCTCTATGTGAAAATAATGTCAATATATCTCTATCACTTTATGGAAATATATTTTTATCAATGTATATCTTTATATTAATGTAACGATATTTATGTAGCAATAATTATGTAACAATATTAATGTAACAATATTCATGTAACAATATTAATGTAACAATATTTATGTAACAATAATAATGTAACAATATTTATGTAACAATATTAATGTAACAATATTTATGCAACAATAATAATGTAGCAATATTTATGTACCGACATTTATGTAACAATATCAGTTTGGCAGTGCTGTTTCTTATGCACCTAAAATACGGCCTGTCTGTACCACACAAGGATGTTAAACTGTCGCGGCAAATCTCCTGCTTCCTCTATGAGCAGCACACACGCGGGCGTCAGGAGTCAAATTCTATGCCGCGTTAAAATACGTCGTGTGTCAACAGCAGTGCACATTTTGTATGTCCGCCGAGGTTTGGTGGTAAATACCGTAGGACGCTGGCGGTATTTGCCGCCCTGTGTGAAGGGGCCTAACACTTCAAAGATGGCTGCTCACCTTTGTTTGTGCGTTTTGGGCGTGAATTCACGAAAGGTTTTCGCGCGGGCGCTTCAGGCGTGGGTACAGCTGGGGGTGCCGCTGGGGGCGCTGAGGTGGGAAGCTGAGCCGCGGCGCGAGTTTCATGTCTTGCTGGAAGCGAACTTGCAACAGAGGCTATCGGGACGGACGCTGGAGTAGAATTCGTATTCTTTGTATTTGAAACTAGAAAACCAAACGTAACTTTGTAGCGAGAGGCACAGTTATAGGAGCAAAAATTGCGAAGAGTATTGTCTGACATGACCATATGGAACTGTGCAGGAGAGACGTTTTGACACATGTTACATTGAGTGAGTTGTGACACTGGTGGTGTGGTGGTAGGCAGAGGAGCTTTAGTTGCTGGTGCTAGTTTTTTAGTTGCTGGCGCTAGTGGTGGTCGTACGTCGGAGGTACTGAAGGCAGCTGGTGCAGCCAAAGTCACGGACCCATTGACGGGAACACCGGCATTGCCAGGATCAGAACTCGGAGGTGAACAAGGGGCCGAGCTGCCAAGTGCTGGCGGCGTGACAGGGCCTTCGCCGGTGGCTACATCCACAGCCAGATCCTCGTCACTGGTCCTGACGAAGTTATGTTTTGAAATCAAAGATTCCAAGTATATCGGACATAAGAAAATATCAATGAGAAAATTCACAAGTACTATAGATTTATTAAATCGCGAATATTTTTATCTACAACAGAGAATACTTCAAACCTTGATCATTTCTCATTACATAGAAAATTTTTTCAGAATGTAGAGCTTGTTTTGGAACCTTTAAACGGTTTTGGTCAACTTAATTAAAGAATGAAAAATTTTATGTGCAGCCGCCTTGAAGGCAATAAATTCACGAAGAATCCCTCAGACCAGATCGAGACCATCATGGTGTTAGGTCAAGTTAATCATAAGACGAGAACAGAAGCGATATGACTGAATTGCATCCAGTTCTACAAAGTATTAAATTCTTGGAATAAATTGAAACTAACTCACTTTTGATGATGAAGGTTAAGACACCAAACTGAGCAGTAGAAGCTTCCTGCAGAATCTTCATGAAACTGAATCATGTCAAAGTTGTACTTCTTCACCTGCCATTGAAACAAAATCATTAGATAATATAAACAGCTTTCCTTTCCCCATGTCAGTCAGCTTGGGCATTCCTTATTCCTTTTGTTCCTTACTGGCATTATATCAGGGAAGTAATCCTTATAAAATAAAATTTGGATAGAATAATTATGGATAGCAATAATTCATTTGAGACTATGGCATTTAATGCTTTAATTCTTATTATCCAAGACACTGCTGATGTTAGTTCCCTATTAGAAAAGCACATAGCCACTCTTCGAAATTTCAGCCTTCAACTTGATAATTTTCTTTTTAGTGAGTGCCAACCAAACGTGACATTTTCTGTTCATTTCTCTAATTTTTTTTCAAGCTTGATAAATTCTGTTAGCCGAGCTCAAGTTGACCCAAGTTTCAAATTTTTTGTTACTTGAAACACAATATAACCTTGGAATTCCTCGAAATAAATTGCAAAAGAGTTCTAGAATAAAACATAATTTTTTGCAGCTAATGAAATTTTAGAAATTTAGTTTAAGAGAATGTTTTGCAAGATCTTTACAAGGATAATGTCAAATGATTAAGCAAAAATATTGCACACAAAACTACGAATTAATAGTTGAGAGAATTATGACTATTTTTTGTCTTGAACTAAAGATTTTTCTTGCGAAATGTGATAGAAATATGAGGGTTTGGAAGTTGGTAGTTATTTTTATGAGCTCAAGCTGAGTGCACCTACACCATAACTGTGGCTATTCTCGTTTTCTGTTGCCAGAAATGCAGTTTTAATAAAATAATAATACTACTGTGAGGCAAAGCTTAGGTTTATTCAAGTGAAGTTCAAATATAATCTACAGCAGTGCAATAGAATCGTGTTGCACTTAGGGAGGTACTTATAGTTCATTGCAATACCTACAGAATGTACTTACCAATATAACTGTTAAGTCTACACAGTACAAGATCCATTACTAACCTTACAGAAGCAGCAGGTAACAATGCGACGTGTGGAGAGTATGAAGACATTAGTGCAGGAGGTGGAGCAAAACACTCGCAGCTGGCCATTGTTGTGGTACAGGAAGTGAGTCACAGACTCCACACACAGCAGCCGTAAGCAAAGGCAGCAATTCACTGCAGGGACATACCCGATGACATTTAAATATCCAACCAAGACAAAATCACGGATTTACCAATACCAATGATCATTTATTACATGTCAGGAGTCATTAGTAAAATTGCTTTTGATCTTGACCTCTCAACCAAAGACTTTTATGAAAAAATCGATTTTACAATGGAGTATACAATACATGGATGTATACAGTGGATAATCACTGCAAAATATCTAGGTGAGAGTTAGAATTTCTCTAATTTATCCAAAAGTATCAAGGTAAAGTAAAGTCCCAGCATAACCTTAACCTACCAAATGAACTAAAGAAACAAAGCGGAACTTACCAGCTTTAAGGCTGTTAGCAAACTTGTAGACATTAAGGCAGGGCTGGGAGCAAAGGTAGCTAGTGTCACCATCCTTTAGAAATTCGAAGCGGGGCACTTGTATGCCAGTACATACAGTGCATGCCTTTTGCTCACTATAGAACTGCTGGTTGATGTCCTTACGAAGTGCACGTTTCATGCATTTTGTACTGCAATACTTCTGCAGAAAGAAAAAAGTTAACTGGTAGCATTGACATGAGGCGACAGTGAATTAATGGGGAACTATTCAAGGAGCCCAACACATTATTTTAATGTAGCTGAACCATGTTTCAGTCCAGTGTCAAGAGAGATTATCTACCACTTCAAGGGTAAGACAACACCAGGCTTCATCACTGAAATTTAACTGCTTAACTAAATTTCTGCTTCCAGCACAAACCTGAAAGTTTCTCAAATTAAAATTACCTCAGAACAGGTATGAGTGAACCAGAAAAAATTTCAAAAAGAAGGGAAAGATACAAAATAGAAGTTTTCTTAGAATATAGCAAAGTAAATTAAAAGCAATAGAATTACTGCATTTGGTAACGTTTGTGAGTTTGAAGTCTGGAATGGTAATTACACAAGGACTATTCAATCATGTTGCTGGTTTTATTACAACTGCCCGGATTTGCTTTTCTTCAGTAGTGGAGGAAATTTCCTCCCTTAGGGAGGAAATTATACTACTGAACATTATACATTATAAAATAGAGGAAGTAAATGTCAAATTTTAAACTTGTATTAAAATTTCAAGTGAGTAATAACTAATATTTGTGTTCTTGGCAAGCAATATGGATGACTCACACATTAAGCATAAGTTTAAAGAGGTTTTTTAGAAATTAATATCACGATGATTTATTAAAAAATCATTTATGATATCCAGGATTCTCAAATCTCTGGGATAATCACAGGTAAAAATGATAAAAGTTTCATCATTTATACATTATTCATAACATTTAAAATTTTTGGCCTTTCTGCAGCTGTGAGAAACCATAAACAAATACTCTCATAGATTACATTTAGGATTTGTCAAAGTTTGCAAACAGGACGAAAGCAGAAGAATTTTACAAAATGTGTTGCCTACAACTATTGTCTATAAATAGCAGTAGGCCATTTCCAACACACAATTTTAAATTTCAAAAAATATATATCAATTGTAGAAGATAAATAACCTCCAATACTAATTTTGTTGCAGGCCTCTTGAGTTCAAATTGTTTAAAATAATTTTGCTTCTGGCACTTCTGTTAAATGCTTAAAATTTTTTATTTGATAAGTGCCAAAAATTGAAATTTTTGTAATGATGAACAATAAGATGTCATGTATTACAGAAATAACTAAAAAAATTAAATCAATCACAAATTGACTTGTAAGACATGACATAGTTATAAGTTTGTAAATCAATGGTCCTCAGCTATTGCCTAAACTGCCATCACATTACAATGTTGGTGCTATAAGTCAAGTTGATAGCTACACTTGTGCCTGAAATTTTTCATACCCTAACGTCATTTCGACAAATTACGAGAAAGATACCAAAAAATAATCATGTAAAACTTCAAAAAGAGATGTAAACCATTTATGAACCATATAACATGTATTTAAAATCCAAAAACCATTATTTTTTCAGTTTCATAAAGAGATACAAAGGAAACATAAAACTGACTCATGACCAAATTTATTCATACCCTGAATCAATAGTTAATATCATGGCCTTTTTACTCATGATAAATTGTTGTAAATGCTTAGTGTAATAGTCAACACTCAACAAGGTTCCTGCATGTATCGATGCAAAGTTTTGTCCATTCTTCCTAGGCATACTGTTCCAATTATTTCAAATTTTTATGTTGTTTCTTTTTTTTCACCTGTGTTTTTAGTATGTGCCACAAATTCTCAATTGTATTGAGATCAAGGCTTGGACTAGGCCATTCCATGATATTGATGTGAGAATACTCGAACCACTTCTTAATTATTATCGACATGTTCTTTGGATCATTATCATGCTGAAGATGTTAATCAGGACCCAGAGAAAGTTTTTCTGCATACTGTTTGATGTTAATTTTGATAATATCAAGATATTATTATTTTTCATGATCTTGTTTACTTTAATCAGACTTCCTGGTCATTAGCAGAAAAATAACCCCAAAACATAAGATTGCCATCCCGATGTTTAACTGTAGGGATTGTGTTCTTTGAATTATGCGACTCATCGTTTTTTTCTCCAAACGTAAGCATCATCCATATGCCCAAATAATTCTATATTAGTCTCATCTGTCAACAAAATATTGGTGAAAAATGAAGCTAGGGAATCAACATGAGTTTTATCAAACTTCATACGTGCTTTCACATGCTTTTATGTTAGCTAAGGGGTTTTCCTGGGTCGACAACCCTTCAGTCTGTTACGACACATTGTTCTTTGAGGTGTTTGTCTTGATACCTTCATACCAGATACATCCAAATTTGACAGAATTTCCTTGCTATTGATCCTAGGTTTGTGCGTATTATGTTTCTAGAACATCTAGGGACATTTTCCCCTTCCTTCATCGACCAACCAGGTTATCCACCGTATTAAATTATTTTATTTTTTTTTATTTAAGTTCTGTATTGTATAAGTAGTAACATCAAACTTCTTAGATATTCCTTTATATCCCAGTCCATCTTTTCAGGAATTAACAATTTTGTTTCTGAGATCATTACTAAGTTCCTTTTTTCTTCACCATCTTCAAACTTCTAGCATAATTTTAGCTTCTCCCTAAATTGTAGAAAAAATGATTTGTCAGACTTTGCAGAGAAAAATAGTACAAGGATTAATAACACCGAATTTTGAAATACAATTATTGAGTATCTACTACACTACTATTTTTATTAATAATTCTTCCTAAATATTATAATAAATGATCTGGAATAAGAGGGTATGAATAATTATGAACAGTTAGTTACCCACAAAATTAAAAATAATTATTGTTGAAAGTTATTTTCTAAATATTTTCTAGCATTAAATTTGTTGTACATTATAATGACACCCTATCCTAGAAAGAATAAGTAGTAAAAGACCCCTATTGTTCTTTAAGATTGAAATTTATTATATTTCTGAAGGGGTATGAATAATTTTGGGCACAAGTGTATTAGTTATTTTCTGGTCTTCAACAAAACTTTTATTCAAAAACATATTCAAATCTACCTAGATTAGAAATCTTCACAGCAGTTCTCCCAATTCAATGCCAATGCTTCCAAAAACTAAAAATATTTTTGGGAATATTTTGAGGTATCAATTAGATTTTTTTCAACATTTTCCAGCATTTTATGATAACCAATTTTGAATTAATTAATCTTTTTAGCGCATTTTCTCATTTATGGAAAAATGCACTATTGTGCTTGCCATGTCCGTCTGTCCGTGACCTCAAGTTTTCGTCGACGAGAAATTGCGCTCTCTGTCACTCACTGCAGTGAGTAGTACTGAGTTATATATTTTTTTATTTAGATGCACAGTAAAGGTTAACAATATGTGTGTGACTGAACTAATAATGAACAAAGTAATGAACTGAATTAAGAGGAGTGACTGGGTCAAAAAATGGATAAATTCGGATTTTAATATATATATATATATTTTGCTTATTATTTAGCTGCTGAAAAGGCGCATCTAACCGCATGTATGCGCGTGCTCTAGTTTTTGCATAAAGCAATTTAAAAATATATAAAATTAGCATTTTGTCTAAATTAAATCTGTATTTATAGATTATTATCGTTAATTGTAGTGTTTGGACTCGTTTGAAAGCTACAAACAAGACGCATTCAACAAAGTTACTACTACCATAGTAGTAGCGTAATTTTTGTGTGAGGCTGTTTTGACTTTTGAACTTATATAAAATCACCATTCTATAACGATATTTAAAAATTTTCATTATTAAGTATGTATTTATGGTATATATACCACAAAAACCACATTTATAGCATATTATTTACGTTAAACTCGACAAGAAAAAGTCTAACAATGCGTGCTGGTACACTAAGTGCAACTAATTGGCAATGGAAAATCTTCTTGGGCTAAAATATCAAGCAATTTTTTTTCATATTCTTCTTTTTTTCTATAAATTTTACTTATTAGGCTGCCCTTAACAATAAAAATTTCCAAAATGCGCCATCTTAAAAATCTATAACCTCTGATGATTTTTAAGCTACAGCATTGATATACCGTACCATTCAATTTGTTAAGAAAAGATCTAGAGAAAGGTTGTAGTTTTTTTTTGTAATTTTGTTATTGTTTAGATTACATTTTGCAAACAGGGGAGAAGGTGGGCAAAAATAAAAAATATACCTCAGTACTCACTGCAGTGAGTGACAGAGAGCGCATTTTCTCGTTGATGAAAACTTGAGGTCATGGACGGATAGACAGACGGACGGACAGACGGACATGGCAAGCACAATAGTGCATTTTTTCCATAAATGAGAAAATGCGCTAAGAACAGACAAAAAATCCTCTCCTCCCACAAAAATAAGAATTTGGAAAAAGGCTACAATGAATTGCTGGATATGATTTTTAATACTTGAATGATATGTATCCCAAGGTAGCACAGTAATTGAATGAGGAGACTTTGAAAAGATCCCCTTTTTTCTGTTTTCTAGGAATTTAATATTTTCGGCCATTTTTTTTTTCAATTTACACATACAAAAAGTCTAAAATTTGTTTTACATATGTATACCAAGTTACAAAGTGATCCGTCCATAAATAAAAAAGTTTTTATGTGCCCAAGACGCTCCCCTTAATTTCAGTCATACTAATAAGAATTTTTTTGATATAAAAAAAATCATCTTTAACTAAGAAGTTAAGAAACATGAACAATACTTGGAATAAATTCTTGCCTAAACAATGCCCTATAAACAAATGCCAGTCAACTTAGGTAAGTTCAATATCTCTTATTTTGCTTTATTTATGGTACTCTATTGTAAAAAACAGTTCACAAGGATCCTTTTATATATTCAATAAAGAGCATTCAGATATACATAATATCTCACCTTATTTGTAGATATAGAGACCACAGAATCTTGAGAGGAGCTATCTCCCATGCAAAGATTTTTTTGACAATAGCAGCAGACTTGTGTACTTTGTTTGTACCTTTCCAAGCAGGTATTTGAGCAAAACTGGTATATGTCTGATCCAAATCTCACGCAGTATTTGCCCATGTGCAAAAGACGTACGGTAGACCTGCACTGTTGACAATGTTGTCCAACATACCCAATGTGATCCGCTGGAAACAAAAAAAATATGTTAGTTCATCCAATGCAGTTACTGGACTGAAGGCAGTTCTGGGCTAACAAAGAACAGTTCCAATAATTGTGAAGGCTATCTTGATGAGTGCAACGTCGGATGATGAATAACAAATTATCTGACATTGGTGATAAATTACCTCAAGAAACATTGTGTCACCAAGAGAAAAAATCTTAGGATTTAATTAAGAGATAAAACCATCAAGGCCAAAAATGATCATGAAATCAATGATGGAAAAGAATTATTTTCATATTATATCCTAAAAAGTAGTTGACAAGGATTAGCAGATATATTTAACAAAAGTACAGTGAATAGTATTGTGAAATGATTAGAGAATTGACAAAGAATGAAGTAATGTATATTAAGAGGACATAAAACATGATTTAGACCAGAGCAGAACTTGGCAGATATTTTTAGAGCAACAATCAAGTGTGGAAACCATTAAGTAACCAGGGGCTATCAGGAATATCTCAAGATCAGTTCTAGATTGACTATGAATGTGATCATATTTCTTCATTATATCATGAAATGACATTAAATAAAAAAAAATAACGTACAAATGATTGAATGTATTCTGTATCAGTCAGTAGTAGGCAAGTAAAAGGGAAAATGAATGACTAATTAACCTCAGGTGAGACAATAAACACTAAAAGTTATGTGCAATAAACCAGGCCATACATTTAAAGCAGCATAATCAATTAATAATTAAATGACCAAGTACCTATGCATGACCTTCACCAAAATTCAGGTATTAACACCAGATCACATGTATATGCCCTAGAGCAAGTATAAATTAGTGAGTTGGCCAAATCTAAACTGTAGTTACTAGTCACTATGCAAACATCTTCAACTTTTTCCCAACTAAATAATTTCATTGAATTTCTTCAACATGTTAGCAAAAGAAAAATTTCTGATCATGTCTTCAAAGTTAACTTAAAAAAATTAATAAAACTATTTTTATTAAAAGAATTGGAATCAGTCCCAACAGAAAGAAAACATTTTTGGTGAGATATTTAAAATAAATAGCAACAGAAATAAAACATTCTTGGTGAGACAAATAACATTGAGGCCAGTCAAAAAAACTTGGTTTATGAGATAAGTATAATTGATGCCAACAGAGAAATTTTAGTGAGACGAGTACAACAAATCCCTACAAAAAACATTGCTTATTGATGGTAAATCTAGCTGGATTCAACTAAGAGTATATTCAATGGCAAAAGACTAATACTCACCTAAACAAAGTTTGTTACAAAATTCTCGGGTTTCCCAAGAGAAGAGGCCTTTGTTGACATCGTTGATCTCGTGTCCACACATCCCACAGACACGTTCAAAATACTTGCGTGGCTTTTCAACAACAGCAGTGTCTGGGAGCTTTAGGAGCCATTCTTCTTTGCATTTGTCAGAGCAAAGATAAGAACTATCAGCAGGACCTCCACTTTCTCTTGATGACAGCACTCTAAAGTCACATTTCACTCTCTGTAAATTAAAATCATTCATCATGTTTAGAGTAATAAGTAAAATTTTAGTTGCATTATTCCACTTGATTTCATAGGTATCAAAATGTTTTTATGAATTGAAATATTTGACTGAGAGCAATGTGAATTTTAGTTAGTTTGCATTATATAAAATATTTGAAAGGTGTTAGGGCTAACTAAGGAAGGATGAAGTGACCTCAGTGAATAACTTCTTCCATTTCTTCTTGGCATATATCTTTAAGAAACAGAAAAACAGGCTCAACTTGCATAAACATTTGTGCAAGTTGAAAGTATATGTTTTTATTTTCAAAAACATATGTTTAAAACATATATTTTTAAAACAAAAAAAAAAAAACATACGTTTTTATGGGCTCGGACAAGGAGACCATCAAGTAGCAAGTGATGGAAATTACTGGCAAGCCCAAGAAGCTCTTCACACTCATGCCTTCAAAGTAATTTGTAAACTCACATTCGATTCATATCAACAAATTGCTTTAATAAGGTCATACAAATCTATCAAGAATAATTCTACAAACAACAAAAAGAAATTAGATCAATTATGCAGATCAGACAAGGAAAAATTATAAATATTGCAACACAGTAGATTTGTCATCTGATTCCATAGAAATTTGACCCATACAGCTGAAAAACAGTAAACCTAGACAATTAATTTAATATTTTTAATCAAATAATTACATGTATAAAATAAATCCAGGCTGTACTCTTGTTTGAGTCCAAATAGAAATAAAAAAATTTACTCTACCTAATTTTATATGAAATAAACAAGTACCCAATTTTATTTAAAAAACTATGCACCTTGTATTAGATGTCAAATGTATTGCCCCACTTTTGTAGTGATTTTCCTGTCATGACAATCACACAAGTTTTTCATTTGCTCAGGTTTCTTTACCCATAAAATATTTGGCAACCTACTCTCCAGCAACTTTGATCTCATACTGATAAAAAAATATAACTCAGTACTCACTGCAGTGAGTGACAGAGAGCGCATTTTCTTGTTGGCAAAAACGTGAAGTCACAGACAGAGACAGACGGATGGACGGACATGGCGAGCACAATAGTGCAATTTTTCCATAAATAAGAAAAAGCGCTAAAAAGTGGTAGCATTTATCTTGTGTTGCTGAAATTCCATAATTACTCCTTCACCCATGTCATAGCTAATACTTAACACCATTTGAAAATCATTCCATGAAAACAAAAAGCATTATCCAAAATTAGCAAGGTTTGCCCCCCCCAATACAATCAATTCAACACATATCCAATTTTCCACTTGAAGTTCCTTACCTGAGAACTTCATATTTTGAAAGAGTTAACAGATGAGATGACATAATTAATGCATTGATGTTAAATAAACACTTCAACAATGGTGCAAGTATTAATCTCATTGTTATTATTAGATTATTAGCTATTAATAAAAAACACCTAAAACAGAATGACAGTTGTAATGTAACAATTATAAATTCTTCAGTTTACAATACCAGTATATATCCTACCAATAAAGATCATTAAGAAACAATTAATTATTGTTATTACATTCATTGAAAAAATTTATTTAGATCATATTTTCACAGCAGTCAGACTTCTCCTCACAAGTTCCGTTTTGGCTGTTCAGTTTAAGTTTTATTGATCTCCTTTTATCCGAAGGAAAAATTCTCCTCATACTGAAGTTCCTACATACATAAGATCAATGATGATCATTGTTTAAGAATTTTTAAAACCTCTCTGCAAGTCTTACCATACTACTAATTTCAATATAATAAAATGCTTATTGGCAGTCAAATCTCCCACCCAAAAAAAAAAAAATAGAAAAAATATATCTACAAGAAGGATGAATCAATATATGAAACCAAACATGTACCTTAGAGCAATGGCAGCACAAGTGCGGGACAACAACACTGCTTCGGATAATGCTGTGATACGTTTTCACTTCAGAGGCTTTATCTTGGCCAATGAGTGACACAGCAGCACTCTTGGGAACCTGAGTCAAAAAAGAATCAGATGAGTTACATAAACACATAACAAACAATGAAGCCTGAAGAAGAAAAAAACTCAGCCAGTTTTATGTATATATCATCATCTCCTATTATATCAGATTATATATATTTAGCAAGTGGATCATCTACTTCAAATTAATTGTAATTAATTTACATTTAGAGGTAAATACATAGTTAATTTAATTTAACTTTTTAAATAAATGTCTGAGGCTGGTAAGTGGTTTAGACAATAAAATTTCAAAAGAAATTTCATATGAAGATCTAAATAGAATCAATTTAAAACAGAATGTTTATAAGTAATTTTCATATATAAAATGTTTACTTTGCAAAACTCAACATGCACAAATAGTGACAACTTTTTAGATTGACACAAGTTTTATAAGTACACATTATTGAGATATGAACCAAATAAAAGATAAATACTTACTATGCACATGGTAGTAATTGTGGGTGAAACAGATGCAGTCCCATCTTGCAAGTCCTTTGAAATGCCACGCACATTCACCAGTTTTAGAGTAGGACAATCAGAATTAGGAATATTTGACGTTTTCAAAGGGACTGAAGCTGAGCCCTGACCAGCAGTTGAGTGACTAGGATTTGCACTAGATTCAGCAACTGAATCAGGATGCTCATCATCCAATATAGTAGTAACAGATGCAATTTGGATATTGGCAAATACATCCCTGTCATCTTCTGACACAGTGCAGCCAGTAATACTTTCATCCACACTCATAACATTAGTGATTTTAAGATGCATAACACCACTTTCATCAGAGCTGACAAAATCACCATGCTCAACTATGTCCCCAATAGTGACATCAGACATGTTAGATGCAGTTCCACCAGCAGGCTCATGTCCTCCAAAGGGAGCCTCATGACGAAGCTTATCTAGAGGCCTGATTTTAATTTTTGAATTAATGACATCACTTCTAAGGTCCTCATCTACAGACTTTGGATCCATTGCAATTATGCTTCTTCAGTTTATCTTGTTTTCAATCTGAAAAAAAATCAAAATTTTCAAACAAAAAGAAGTTCATAACAACAAATACAAGAATACAGTGTGTATCTGGATAATTAATCAATTCCATAGCAAGACCTAGATATTTCTTCTTAATCTGTTGTTGTATGCTAAAGCCCAATTCTGTTACAAGTAGGAAACTTAGTAGGTCTGTCAGGCAGGCTGGAATTCTAGAGGTGTATTAAATTAACCAGAACACAGAGCATATTGCACACAACCAATTACAGTCTGTAGAGGATGGCATTACAATCCACCAACCAATTACAGTCTATAGAGGATGACATTACAATCCACCAACCAATTACAGTCTGTAGAGGATGACATTACAATCCACCAACCAATTACAGTCTGTAGAGGATGGCATTTCAATCCACCAACCAATTACAGTCTGTAGAGGATGGCATTTCAACCCACCAACCAATCACAGTCTATAGAGGATGACATTACAATCCCACCAACAAAATAAATCAGTCACAGTCTGGACTCTGGAGTACATGACATCACAACCAACCACAGTTTGGAGATAGACATGCATCAGCCCAAAAATGAGAAGCTTTAACACCATCCCAGAATTCCAGCCTGCAGTCAGGGAAGTGAAATTTCCAGTTGGGCTTCTAGTCTAGTACAGAATTTCTCTACTTATTAATAAAGTCTTTCAGCTATATTGGTAATATTACACATTTTATTCATGTTTGAAATTTTGTGGCACATTGTGCACTTTTGTTAACAATTAGATAGGAGTTGATTAATCTCAAGGCTCCAGCATGAATCTCACAGGGTGCATAATGGTATTTAAAAAAAAATTCCATGACTCCATGATCATTGATCATCAATATAATTTTCCAAGACTTGTATATGACAAGTTTAGCATGAATATAAGACTAACTGCATATTCTATCGTCTACTGCAATTGATAAATAGCAAACGTGTAAATGCACAGAGCAGGCAGACACAGAGGAATAAAAATGACACGTATCTGAAAATCAAGCCCATACTGGTGTTAGTATGAAATAGTGTCAAATCACAACATATATTAAGTAATGCACACAAGATTGTACATGATAATGTCAATACAGTTCAAAACACTCTTCAACACCACTACCCTAACAATCAAATGGCAGCTATTTCATCAACTTTTTCTTTAATGTTCAGTTCAAGAGAGTCTAGCTTCGTTTTCAGAGATCGTCTCATGGTGTTGAACTTTGTGATAATTTTCAAATCCCTCTGTCTCTCTATTACTTCTGTATATTTATCTGCTGCTTGCTAAAGCGCCTTGATGCCCTCCTCCATATGCCTTTTTCTTCTTCAGTTCATCTAGCTCATCCAACAGAGCCTTCCTCTTCTGGGTTTTCAGGCCTTATCATTCTGCTCTTTCTCTTTTGCCAAATAAGCATTGTAGGCTGCTTTGGTACTGCCATCTGCAAGCAGCATCTTCTTGGTGATGGTCATCTTGTCCAGGTCACCAACATGTGCAACAGGATCAACTACAACAAGCAGGGTAACCACCGTTTGCTCTTTCATGATGTGCGTCATGATTTCCTTGTTGAACAAAAACCCTCATTCAACTGTGGCTTGGCCATGAGACAGGAGCATGAGCATCTGCACTACATTCCAGTGGCCAGATTATCAAAACTTTGCAACTTTTTGTACTTACAACAAAAAAGTTATGTGGTACTGTAAAATGGGGTTACTTTGACCGGCGGGGTAACTTTGACCACTTTTCGTTTTTTTAACAAAAACCCCCAAAACTCAAAAACGATTTGACATAGAAAAATTTTGTCAATGGCCATCAAAGGCCTAATACTAAGGCTACGTAACACAATAGAAAGATTTAAAAAGTTTGCATAGGTATCTAATAGGTAAAAAATTAATAATGTGACCCATGAAAATGAGCTATTTTTTAAAGCCTGTCAGAGTACCCCTTCCAATTTTTTTATTTTTTGGTAAAATAACTCCAGGTTTTGATGCATTGTAGTAGAACTCTTCTAGTTACATATGCTGTTGCCGTGAGGCTTCTGATCCCTTGTCACTCAACCCTCATGCCTTTTATTGCATAGTAATTTTTGTCACCTATTTATTTTTACATGCATTCACCTTTGTCTTTCTGTTCCATTTGTTTCAGCTGCACTAAGTGGTGACAATATGCTAAAGTAAATTCCATTAAAGTAAATTCCATTATTATAAGTATCAATTCTGCAAGGGAATTCCTCATTTAACTTCAACAAGGAGTATGCTGCCAGAACTGACAGGCTTTCCTGCGTCACTCTGAAGAGTGAGTATTAGTAGGGATGTATGCAATATTCTTTGGTTAATGCGCTTTAAATCTGTCCCAGTAACTATTTAATTGCTAAATATGTCTTTAGCTGAATTACTTATTATTCTCAATTAATTTTACTATGGATTCTCTAAAAACTAACTTAATGCTGCGGTTCCATAGTCACCTCAGTTTTGTTTTCAATTATTGATGTTTATTCTGAATTCATTTAGCATTTAATTGTTTACCATTTAATTGACCTGATGATTTTAAAGTTATGTTCATGAGTGTTATAATTCTTATTTAGTCTATTCTTTTGCTTCCCACAACTCCTAAGAGATTGAGGGAAGTATTGGTTTAAGTTTGGCCTGGTTGGTGGTTTGCGGTGCACTTTTACCTTAAGCTGCATCTGTCCACTTGCTTGGCAACTGTTTTATCTTAACAACCTTCTTACAGTAATAGGCGTGAGTAGGCTGTTTGCTGACAAATGTTTTCATTTTTCCTTTCAGTTATTGTTCAGCAACTCCTTGCCTGCCCATGCTCCGTAACCCATATTTTAACTGAATTCTTCTGAACTAATTTTTACTTCACAAAGTTCACATACCCTGCTCACCTCTTGCTCAGGGTACTCATGCCCTTGCTTTCTTCTTTATTGTTAGCATGAAATATTTTACCTCAGGGCCTTCTGCCCTTGTTTTGTAATAAAAGATTTGTAATGTAAAATCCCGTTTTAAATAATTACTTTAATTAGAGTCATTCTTTCATTCTCCAATTCATACTGGGTTGTTGCCAAAGAAACTCCAAAAGTAGGTGACGAGTTTGCCTCACCCGTGGCGGGAGACAGTACCCCGGCAACATTGGCATCTCCGACGGGATTTTTTTTCTTCTAGAGTACATTCTTTTAGTCACTCTCACACTTTTCTACCAACCTCTTTTTCACATTCTTCATTATGGCTTCCTCTGAGACCTCAAGAGGACCTACTTTAGTGGAGCATGGGCAGGGCAGCACTGCAGCACGGGCTGATCTGCTTGATGGGGCCCGCAATGAGCGCTCAACTTCTGCCAACCCACTGGGGATGTCTGACACTGATGAACCAAATGGCTTGACTACAAAGACTGAGTCAACCCCAGGAGCAGGCACTGAGGCCCTGCAAGCTGAGAGAACTTATGTAGCCAAAATTGTAGCAATTCACTCATTGCTGGCTCAGTTTTCTCATCCACAAGTCAGAGCTGATTTTGTTAATGGGAAGTTTGGGATTGGTGTAAATCCTGGCATTCTCCCGGTACTGGATGAACTGCGCTGGACAATTTTTCCTCGTTGGCTTGGCGGTGGCTTCTCTGCTGCAAAGCATAGGAATGAGAATGCTGCTGACCACCTAAAACTCTTAATTTCTAGTTCTCCTGACATTTTCCTTACCAATTTTGAGAATGCTGATCAGTGTTTGACTTATCATGAGTGGAACTCAGTATTAGACACTATTGCATCTGATCGCTATTGGTCCAGAAACTCTGTTGATAAGAGGTGCATACATGTTCTCCCCAGTGATAGTGAAGTGGAACCCAGTTCTCCAGTCATGAGGTCAAGATTGTGTGAACTGAAGTCTGTGGGGGAATTAGCAGATTGTTTCTCAAGGTTGAATACAGCTAGCAATTTGGGGCCAGCAAGCAACATTACTGGCTTAGAAGTTTCAAAGAAGTTGACAAGGAAGAAAAGAAATAAAATAAAAAGCAACCCGACTGCTGACAGATCGCTGAAGATAGAAGAAGTAGGAATTTCCTCATCCGAAGTGTCATCAGAAGGTGGTGGCAGCTTGGCATCAAGTCCATCTGATGGCTCAGATGATGATGACCCACCTATGCCATGCCCCACTTATCGTCGTCGGAAGTATGCTGACCGTCGTGAAGTAGTGGTTCCACCAAAATTTGACCCAAAGGATAACATCAGCCTAAGAGACTTCTTTACTACTTTTGAAAATTATTTCTCAAAGAAGTTCTCTGGCACAACATATGACCAAACCCAAAAATTGGCTGATTTCCTGGATGGGGATTTGCGTACAGTTTACCGAGTGCGAGGTGGAAGAAAGCTTAAGTATAGTGATGTTGCCGGAAGGCATTATTGCTTTTTCTCCACTCAACCCATCTGTGTCATTAACCAATTTTCTTACTCAATGCATCTTTTTGTTTCATATCGTTTCAGAACAGAGGTAATAATTAAAATTCCATTCAAGCCAAGTTTAAGCAAGTAACTAAAATGCTGCCAAGACAGTTAAATGCATCAAGTTAATTCTGCAATACTGTTGGGTGAGTGAAGCTCTTCCTGATAATGTATATACGTGTACGTCGTCCGTAATACTGCATTTTCCATATCTTTTTAACCGTTGCATTATTTATCTGTATTATGTGAGCACAACCCTACCATAATCAAGTTAACTTTGTTTCAAGTGTTCAGTTCATAGACATGATGGTTATGCGGTCCTTGTTTTACCTATATAACTTCACTTGCATTCTTGCGTCAAATCTATTTCCAATGTTGTTTGCTTTGTGTTTATTAATTATAATTTTTGCTTCAATAACTCTTGCAATTTAAGTTACTAGACTAAAATTATCAATCTCTAAATTACTAAATGTTTATTCATTATTCAGTTATAGCATGATTGCCTCAAGTTAACATCTAAATTTAGGCATGATAGATTGTAACCTGCTTGCATCATATTCACATTATGCGCAGTATAT